AGGGGCAAACTGTGGAACAAACCATTGATTGCTCATATGCAAGTTCAGGCTGAAGCTGAAGAAGATTAAAGCAAGTCCACGAGAATCCAAATAGGATTTTGAACATATCCCACCTGAATTTAGAGATCATCTCAAGAACAGATTTGGTGCCTTAGACACTAATGACTGAAAACCACAGGTGACATCAAGAACATTATACAGGAAGAAAGCAAAAGGTCATTAAGAAGACAAGGAAGAAATAAAAAAAATAAAAATGCATGTAAGAAAATACTCTGAAACATGTTCTCCAGCATAGAGATGCTAAAGCAAAGGGAGGACATGAGGGGGGTAAAAGAGCTGAACATAAAATTTCAAAGGGCATCTCAAGAAGACAAAGTCAAATATTAAAATGAAGTAAGGAGCTCTGGTAGCGTAGTGGTTACGAATTGGGCTGCGAACCTTAAGTTCAGCAGTTCGAAACTACCAGCCGCTCTGCGGGAGAAAGATGAAGCTTTCTACTCCCGTAAAGATTTACACCTTCAGAAACCCTGTACAGGGTCGCTATGGGTCAGAAGCGACTCGACGGCACTTAACAACAACAACATGCAAAATCTGGTATAAAAAAACAACAAATGCTCATTATTTCTCAAGATGAAAGAACTAAGGAAAAAACACAAGTCTAGACTTGTAATATTGAAGGGTTCTTTGGACAAAATATTGAATAATGCAGAAAGCATTAAAAAAAATGGAAGGAATATATAAAGTCAGTATACAAAATGAAATGGTCAATGATCAGCCATTTCAAGAAGTTGCATATGATCAAGAGTCGATGATACTGAGGGAAGAAATCCAGGGTACATTGAAGGTTATTGGCAAAGAACAAGGGAATTGATGGAATACAAATTGAAATCTTTCAACAGACTGATGCAGCACTAAAGGCACTCACTCATATATTCCAAGAATTTTGGAAGGCAGCTACCTGGCTTGGAAGAAATCTATATTTGTGCCCACTCTAAAGTGAGGTGACCCAACAGAGTGCAGAAATCATCAGACAATATCATTAATATCACATGCAAGTAAAATTTTGCCAAAAATAATTTCCTTTCATCTTGAGAAACAAATGTCTAGTCTGCTTTTTCCCTTTTGGTTTCCTAATTTCAGGTCTTTTTACATTTTACTGTACTTTGTGTTCTCAAGTCGCCCTTGAAATCTTCTCTTCAGCTTATTTGAGTTTCTTTTGTCCTCCACTTTGGCCTTTTCTTGTTTTCCTGTCTTTTTAATGATCTTACGTTTTCTTCATTTCTGATGTCCTAGATGCCAAACTACAACTTGTATGGTTATTTGTGTCCAATGTTTCAAATTTGTTCTTTAGATAGTCTCTAAATTCACGTAGGATATATTCAGGGTTATTTTTTCTCTCTCTCTCTCTCTCTCTCTTGCAGGCCAGTTTTAAAAGAGCTGAACAAAAAAAATTTCAAAGGGCAGCTCAAGAAGACAAAGTGAAATATTCTAATGTAATGTGCAAATCTACAGCTTCAACTTAAACTTGCAAAAGTACAAATAATGGTCTATTCCACAATCAGCCCTTCGCCTTGTTCTAACTGAACTCTTCTGCCATTTTGTTGTACTGTAGTGGCTTGTATGTTGCTGTGATTCTGAAAGTTGTGTCACTGGAATTTCAAATAACAGCAGGGTTATGTGGTTATGTTTCAGTGGAGTTGTCCAGATAAAAATGACTAAGGAGAACCCAGTGATTTACTTCTGAAAAAATTGCCCAGTAAAATCTTTACGAATAGCAGTCGAGCAGTGTCTGATACAGTCCAGAGTTCCTCAGGTTTGAAGGCACTCAAAATATTGTTTAAAAAGAGCAGCCTCATCAAAGTAGAGTTGACCTTAATGATATGGATACAGTAAAGCTTTCCAGAACTTCATTTGAATGTAGCACAACTCAAAATGAGAAGAGCTGAAGGCATCCAATAATAATCAGAAAATGGAATGTACAAAGTATGAACCTAGAAAAATTGGAATTTGTCAAAATTAAATACATAAAGATCCATACTCTAGGCAGCATTGTTGTTAAGTGCTGTTGAGTCAGCTCTAACTTATAGTGACCTTATATAGGGTTTCTGAGGACTGGTGAGCTTGAACCTCCGACCTCGCAGTTCACATCAATCTTTCTGTCCAGTGCATTAATCCGCAGTGCCACACCAGGACTCCAGTCTAGACATTAGTGAGCTGAAATGGACTGATATTTTGAATCAGACACACATATGATGTACTAGGCCAAGAATGACCAATTAAAGAGGAATGGCGTCACATTTGTCATCATAAAGAACATTTCAAAGGCCTGAATCAAGTACAATGCCATCAGTGTTAGGCTATCATTAATATGGTTACAAGGAAGACTAGTTAATACGACTATTATTCAAATTTATAGACCAGCCATTAATGCCAAAGACCATGAAAATGTTTACCAACTTCCAGTTAGAAATTGATCAAACAAGAATCAAGACACATTGATAATTATTGGTGATCCAAATATAAAAACTGAAAACAAAGAAGTATCAGTTATCTTGAAAATATGGCCTCGGTAATAGAAATAAACCTATAGGTCACATGCCAGAATTTTGAAAAAGCAATACCTTTTTTCAACAATATAAACTGCAGCTATATACATATTAAGGAGCTCTAATTCTTTTGAGAGATGTCATGATATTCCACAAATAAATGGACAATACTCTAGAAGTGATTCCTATAACATTCCTCTGCCAAGTGTATTTCAAACAGCAGCTTTCTCCATCTAGCCCTAATTCCGCCTAATTCGCTTTTAAATTTTCAGGTCAACTCATGTAAAAATATTACGCTTCCCTTCACTAATTATAACTTGTTCTTATTAAATCTTTTAAATTATTATTTCATTGAATCTGAGACAACAGAAAAGACAAAAAAATCATACTTATGCTTGGTTAACTGCCTAATTTCTAAAAAAAGGGGGCATGAAATAACAAATCACTACATACACATATGTGTACACCAATTAAAAAGGACTAGAATCTGGAGATATCTCTCCTCTCAATAATAGGAGACATTGAGCTGTCTTGCTTTGATAAGGCTCTACCTATTAACAATGTCTGTTCTGATTGGTTTGCATACAATGCCTATTGTTAAATATTTTCAATAACGTTCCTGAAGTATACTAATATAATTCACACGGAACTCCTAAAATGTTTCCTCCATCTAGTTGATGAATAATAGGAATTTATTTTGAGTGTTGCTGTTAAGTACTGTTGAGTCGGTTCTGACTCATAGTGACCTCGTATAGGGCTTTGGAGGTTGTAAATCTTTTTGGAAACATAAAGTCTTATCTTTCTCCTGAGGAACGGCTGTTCAGCTTCAAACTGACAACTCTGTGGTTCACAGGTCAGTGTTTACCCTAGAGAGCCACTGTGCTCCCTACAAAATCACTCTTGAATACATAAAAATATATTCAACAAATGTTTGACCTTATTTCCTCACTTGCAAAATAAGCTATGTCATATCCTTAGTCACTTTAACCTTTAAGATTTTATACTACAATGTTGTTGTTGTTAAGTGCTGTCAAGTCGATTCCGACCCATAGCGACCCTGTATAGGGTTTGCAAGGAGCAGCTGGTGAGCTTGAACCGCTGACCTTACAGTTCAAACAACTTTGCAATCTGACGCATTAGCCCACAGCACCACACCGTGACTCCCAATAAATCATTTTAATAAGTTATGATATCACTGAATGTACTGAGTTAAACTAAAAACATCATAACCTTTTATATCCAGATATTCATTCTATTGACTCTATCATACATTAACTTCTAAAGATAAATCATCAAAGAAAATAACAAAAGCTTATTTTAAATTATTTTATTTTTCATAATTTTCTAACACATGGTGTTAGAAACATAAATTTTGGCACCATGATTTAAAACTTTTTTCAAGTGTAACCTTTAAATTAAAAACAGTAGCAACAGTAAGAATATTTAAACCTCATTCAGAGAAATGAAAAATAAAGTTGACAAATGTTTTTGTGATTGGGAAGTTTTTTAAAAGTGGGTTAAAGCTCAGGTAAAGAAAGTTAAGACTGATAAAGTGGAGACTATGCAGGAAAGAGAAAAATGTGAATAACCCACCTACCCCTAAAAACAAATATGAAAGAGACAAAGAGAAAAAGGAAAAAAAGGCTCAACAATTTTATTTTCCTGATAAAAAAAAATTCAAGTACTTAAAAAGTAAGAAAAACACACTACTAATTTCAATATTTTTTTTCCATTTTCTAGAATTAGAAAATATTTTTTTTAAGTTAGAGACAGTTACTGGTCTGGAACAATGTAAGAAATGGTGTATGCTTTCCTATATCCAAGTACCTATTTAAAATAATCCACCTTGAAAAATTCATCTGAGGGAACATTTGTTCTTATTACTAAGTGCCGTCTACTCAGTTTCGACTCAGAGTGATCCTTTATAGGGTCCCCAAGTAGTGGCTGCTGGGTTTGAACCAACGACCTAAAGATTGCTATTCGAGTGCTTATCCTACAGTGATGCTCCAGGACACCTGAAGGAACATAAGTTTTGATTTCTAATACAAATATAAAAACAAAAACCTAACAGTCTATGATTTCAAGAACTGCCAATTTTCATTAATGTCCATTTTGTCTACATGCCCCCTACAACATGATGATAAATAAAATTCATTTCAGGTTTTTCTTAAATAAGAAAGCAATTTAAAATTAGTCTCATTTGTTATGTGTACATTTGTACCTGAATAATTTATCCACTGAAATACAAATTTTAAAAATTGTCATTATTCTCAGAGACAGTAAGACAAAAATAAATATTTTCTTTTACTTTTTCTTCTTTTCTTTCTTTCTTCAATCTGTGTTTTAAGGCTCAGAGCAGACATTAAGAAAAACAAAACTTTTATATATGTGTATATATATATATATATATACACACACACACACATATATATATATATATATATATACACACATAAAGTTTTCAAATATTTGGTCCAAAGTAAAGTTGTTCTGTTGAAGTTATTGAAATATTCCTCTCATCTTCTCAAGCACAGCTTCAAAGGCATGCTCATGTCAGGCACTCATTCCGAAAGGAAAGTCCAATTCAATGAAAAGGAAGTAACTCAGGGATCTATAAATGACACTGCAATGTATCGTGTTCCATTTTTAACAGGAAGTCCTTCGTGCAAATGGGTGAGTCTCCCAGGATGCATGAAACTCCAGCCTTTACGTGGTGACTCAATGGAGCAGTTGTACCTTAAAAATTTACATCCACCACCCTAAAAGAACAAAGAAATGTATCAGATTATTATTTTTCATTTGTAGTCAATGGCAAAATTCAAATTATGCCATTTAAGAAGAATCTTACAAAGAAACCAAGGCAAAAGCTCTTTTTCATAATGACATATATTTCTCTTCTAAAGTTTCAAGAATAGAAGTCTCAAGTACCTGAAAATCTTCTCCCACACTATTGAGAGCAATGTTGATGGTAAATGTAGACGCATCATGATGAGGGCGAAGAGAACGCTGTCTGTCAGGTGAGTATTTTACTACAAAATTCAATAATGCGAACCCCTAAAAAATTCAAAGTAAGCCAGTGGATTTGCAATTAATAAAACTGAGAAGAGTACATCTGTTTAATGACTGGTAGTGGGGTGGGTAGGGATAGAGAGGGCATGAAAGGAAAACCTTTGTATTAATACCTTTGTATAATAGCCTGCAAAGACTTTCAGTGTAACTGGTGCAATAAACTCTCGGATAAAATGCAGCCATACATTCTCCAGATCAATTTGCTTCATGTGGATATCATCCGTTGGGACGTTTTCATAACCACCAGATATACGGCTATCCTAGAAACAGTGTTAATGACTTCATAAAATACAGTTCACATGCAATTCACATTTTGATTATTTTGGTAGTTTTCAACCATAATATCATAATAGCCAATAAAAATAACAATTGTTCAAATACAGCATGCCATCTTCTTTAGTTGCAAAACTATCAAAATAACTCAGTTAACATGGCTTTGTAAATCTATCAATCATGAAGCAAAGTATTGAAGTCAGTGGATTCTTACCCTACTTATGTTGTTGTTGTTGTTGTTAAGTGCCATCGAGTCGGTTCTGACCCATAACGACCCAGAACAGGGTTTCCTAGGCTGTAAATCTTTACAGGAGCAGAAAGTCTCATCTTTCTCCCACGGAGCAGTGAGTAGTTTTGAATTGCTGGCCTTGCAGTTTGCAGCCCGATTCGTAACCACTACGCTACCAGAGCTCCTTATATCTCATGCATATTTGAGGTTTGAATGTACAGCAAATAAAATTTGCTTTCTCTTTTTAAGTAACTGCCCTTCAGGATCTCAGGCACTTTGTATGTTCAGAATCTACTTATATGCTCTTTGGATTACCTGCCACTGAAAACAAGCTTTCCCTGCTATATTGTTTACTTCCATTTTGTGCACCCAAAATCCTTCAAAGGTTTCTTTTTATTACTACATAACCTGCTGTTCGAAATTCTTTCTCTATTACTTTGAACTTTCTGCTTTCTGATCAGATAGCTAGCTGGGGGCTTTAATTGACTAGAGGCAGTGATTTCCCAGGGTATATCACTAAAATTCTCAGTATTGTTAAGGAGCTAGCATCTGTGGTTTCTCAGAGGAAAGGAAATACAATGAACTAGCAATAATGCTTCCTGCCAAGTGTTGACACTGAATGTTCATGCAAACTGAATTACACCAAAAGTATTCAATTAGATCCCTCCTTTCTATTTTTACACACACACAAATAGTTTGGGCAATCAACCAGATAAGGTCTGTTAGGGTATTTTAAAACACTATAGCTCCATGAGAGTCTTGGTGTGGTGCTACAGGTGAAGCCCTGGACTGCTAACTGCAAGGTTGATAGCTAAAGCCCCAGAGCAGCTCCTGGAAACCCTCTACAAAGTAACTGTGAGTCAGAACTGACCCGACATCACTTACCAACATATTTCCATGTGGAAATACAGGAAATGAATAGCGGCCTTAGAGAAAAGTAATATCACACAGTAAACATGTATCTTAGCTTCCCACCTCCAGCTTCAGGACACTGATCTTTAGCAAGACCACTTGTACAACACTTGTGCAATTAATTATATGTACAGATGAAAATCAAGAGCTAGATAGAGTAAATAACACTTTGAATATTAAACAATTAGCTTTGTTTTTGTTTGTTGAGTGCTGTTGAGTTGGTTCTAACTCATAACGACCCAGTATAAGGTTTCCAAGAAGTAGCTGGTGAGTTTGAATCAGTGACCTTGCAGTTCAAACCGACCTATGGTTGAGTGCTTATCCCACAATGCCACACGAGGATGCCAAACAATAAGCTAGTGACAGAATTAAACCTAAAACAAAGTTCTTCTGACACCCGGATTCACTGTTTCATTTAGATCCAAGACTCAGAACTGTATGATAAAAATACTGTGAATACTGATTATCTATACACACACACACACTTCCTTTTTTTATGTGAAATTAAAACTTACATGATGTTTTCCCCCAGACCACTTGCCATAGTGCTCCATTTCTTCCACCAATTCATCACAGGCTTCTTCAGAAAAGATGGGAAACCAAAAGACATCTGGACAAGGCTATAAAATATGGTATCACCATTAGAAGAATAACACAATGGGTCTCTGAATTAATAAATGGTATTACTAAACTAATAGGACATAACATTCAAACAGTGATCTCACTTAAATGGCTTTTTAAAGCTTGTCCAACATTATTGACGTATGCTGTTACAAACAATACTGGTTTATAAGGCATCCCCATTTCAACACCTGTGAAATCCAGATGTGTATTAGGGTTGTATTCAGTCAAGCAATTGGAGTCATTACGCCTCCAACACTCCAATTATGTGTTGGAGTTGTAATGCCAAAGTGTACGTACATTTGTTCTACTATTCATTCTGTCCTCACTGTGTCTGTGTGTGTTTAGTTGGTGCTTCACTTGTTGACTTGCACTTTGAAACATCTTTTAAAAGATTTAGACTGTGACTTGCCATTGAAAAGAATACTTGCTTTGTACACAACTGTCAGTCATATGCATGCTAACACATCTTAAAAAGTCTAAAATAGCTTTCAATATATACCAAGTAAATTCCAAGTGATAAGAAAACACGTCACAGGTTTTTTGGTTTATCATGGTACATAAAATAGTGGTGCATTAGTTGAAGACATCTTACAGACTCTGAAATAAGGTAGTAGCAATAGCTTTGAACCCTATAATAAAGGTCACCTTTATTATAAATGTAATAAACCTCTCTGAATTGATACTCTTGGAGTTCAATTTCTTTCAAGGATAAGCTTTCATTGCAAGAGATCCATATCAATGATCTCTCCATGGTTCCTTTTTAGTGGTTCCAGAGAGCCTTAAGTGAGCCTTGGTGATGCTGCTGAAGACATGTTAAACTGTTAATCACAAGGTCAAAGCTCCCACCATCTCTTCCATGGAAGAAAAATGAGGCTGTCCACTCCTGCTTGGAAACCCTACATGGGATCATTACGAGTCGGAATCAACTCAGTGGCAGTGGGTTGTTTGGTGAGGGAGAGCTTTACCTCTTGGAAGTCTACTAAAAACAAGTTTTATAATTAATTATTATTATCTTAAGATCATTATTCATATCTACGGCCCATATTTTTTATAACTATGTGATTGCTAAAATTGTCTGATAACTGACCCTATGAATTTCACCTATATTTTCTCCACTTTCATAATATTGTGCCGAAAGTACGACTACATTAATATGGTGGAAAAAGTAACAAAAATGTTTTACACCTAGTAATAATCATTACAAACCTGTTCAACCAAATTTTCGGTGAAAATCTTCGAATAGTTACGGCTTATATACCTTTCCTTCCAATCCTACAATAAATAAATAAATTACACACATTAAAGCAAATACCTTTCTTTTAAATACCTTATTATAACATAAAGTAGATGCATTTTACAAACTGCTCTAACAAGTTATAAATGACTATATGTGATTTGGCAAACAGAAGAACATGCAGATAGCAGTTTTAATTTTTGCCTGATTATGCACATGTTCACATTGTTCTATAAAACATGAAACGGCTATTTATTAAGTTTTAAGCTCCAGACATTTAAAAAGTGACTAATCCTTTAGTGATTAGAGTTGTACGCTGCTTTCTATGTATCCACATGTGTACATAAATGTAAAAAATAATAAACAAAATCCTACCATATATATATTTGAAAAAAAATTGAAAAACTAAGTAGAGTCTTACTTATTCTTCTTTAGTGAACTTTTTAAAATTAATTTTTGTTTTTCAAATGAATTTGGATTTTCTGCCTTGACCACTTAGTAATATGTATCAGGGAAAGCTCAGGGGTTTACTAACAGTTTCACTTTTTCAATAACTGAAATGGAAACAAAGAGCTTTCTGCTGACAAAAGGCTCATTATTATGCCAATTCACGAATGGGATTCTCCCCTGTGACCAAACTCTAGAACATAAACCACAAAAAAGGATACATCAATTTTTCCAACATAAACTAAGGAATCATTTTACTGAGTGTCAAGTGTTTTATTTAAAAACTCTATATTTAGAAAGCATATGCTAAAATGTAGAGTGATTTAAGTATCCCAAAACAATATTTCCTTAAAAGTGCTAAGATCATTTAACAAAATTGTTCACTTTCTTTTTACAAAGTTAAAAACCCAGAAAAGAACTGAGTCATGATCAAAATAACCCCAATAAAAAAATATGTCTGGAGTATTTTTCTGTAATATATTTGGTGAATCCAAATTTCAGAGGGTCTCTGATAACTTATATGCCATTCTTAGTTTTTAAAATCTCTGCTGAAATATATAACTCAGCTACCTTTCATATGGAGAAACCAAAGCTAACTTCAAATTCTTTAACACCTGTCACTTATCCACAGTAATTAAAAATAATGATCAAATTATCATACTATATCATTATTATTCCATCTAACATTCATTCATTTTATGATTCCCAAAGCAATTCGTTCTCCTTGTAGAAATTTTGGAAAAGTGAAAAGTAAGTAATCAGCCATAATATTTCAGAATATCATTTCATGATATTTTTTTCTTAGTTCTCTTGTACTACTATAACAGAAATTCCACAAGTGGATGGCTGGAACATCACAGGAATTTATTCTCTCACAGTTTAGGAGGCAGAAGTCTGGAGTCAGGACACCAGTTCTAGCGGAGGGCTCTAACTCTCTGTTAACTCTGGGATAAAGTCTTTGTCTCCTTTCAACATCTGTGGGCCTGGCATTTCTTAGAGATCTCCATGTGTCATGGCGTTAATCTTGCCCTGGGTGTAGACAGTTCTCAGTGCAGGGTCTGTAGGTTCAAAGCTCCTATCCCAGATCTTCTTTCTTGATGGTACCTACATTCCTCCTTCTCTACTCACTTCTCTCTCCTTTTGTCTCTGCTATGATAAAAGGTGATGCAGGTCACACCCCAAGAAAACTCCCCTTACATTGGATCAGAGCTGTGAACTGTGAAAGGTTTTTGCATTCCACCCTAACCCACTTACAACTGATTGGCTGATCACATCAGATCTCATCACTGGGATGACGACATGAATACAAAACTGCCATATTACTTACAATCACCACCCAGACAAACTGACATATATTTCTGAGGGGCACAATTCAATCCATGACATTCCATTCTATGCTTCCCCCAAAATCAATGTCCTTGTCACAAAGAAAACAACACTTTCACTAAATCATATCATCCTTAAAGTCTTAAATCAATTCCAAGTCCCAACTTCATCCTGGGACAAAGTTCACCTTCATTTGTGAATCTAAAATACAAGTTATCTGCTTCCAAAGTACAATGGTGGAAGAGGAACAGGGAAAACATTTCTATTGCAAATGGGAGAAATTGGACGAAAAGAAAGGAAAGCAGGTACCAAGAAAATTCAAACCCCAACAGAACAAGTTACATTAATTTGCAGGGCTTGAAAATAATCTTTTGTCCTCTGAGACCATTTACGTAAAGGCTCTACCCTCTAAACTCTGCGTATTGATCATGCTCTTTGAATTCTAAGTGGAGGCCCCTTGACTCTGAGCTTCAGATTCACCTTCCAGACCCAGTTGAATGGCAGCTCCGCTCTTTTGGCTTTGAGAGGCTCTATTCTTCTGTCTTCTTGTGCATGGCAGCTTTGCCCCCTCAACTTTGGTAAGTAGATCTGGCCCATCATCTTGGCAACCATGCAAGACAGTCCCACAGAACTGAATTGGTGAGGATCTGACTCTTTTAACCCTAAGAAGCTGTGGCCTCAACAGAGATCCCAGAGGTCATAGCTCTATCCTATGAAATGGAGGCAGCTGTTTCTCATCCTCCTTGTCTCCAGCTTATGTTTCCTATTTTTTTTGGCCTCTCAACCTCTCAGGGTTCCTGAGCCAGCTGTGTGTTCTGCCCTGTTCAGGTAAATGTTACAAAGCCACTATTTAATAATAATGTTAAGTTACCATTATTAATAAGTGCCTAGAAACACCCTACTTTGCCAGTAGCCTAAGCCTGAAGGTGCTCACTGTCAGTCAGCAAGCCTAACTCCACTGACAAGTGCCCAATGTAACTCACTTCACAGGAAAGTCTCCTGACTGAAGGTACTCTGGACTCCAGCTCCATTGGTTGACTATCCTGCTCTCTCATGCTGGTCTCCTAGATCTGAAGCTGCCATTTCTCTGCCACTGCTTCTCCCCATCTGCACCATCTCTGTTGTTACAGCTCTCTTCACATCCTTCAGAGCCCCCACCAAAAATGTCTTTGATAACCATAATTCCACCAAAAGTCTACTCAAGACAATAGAGGCCTTTACTCTTATTGGGTGTTTTTCAGGGCCATCTAGCTAGTTCTGATTCATGAAAACACTGTACAACAAAATTAAATACTGCACCAGTCCTGCACCAACCTCACAATTGTCCTTATAATTAAGCCCATCATTGTTGTCACCATGTCAATCCATCTCATTGTGGGTCTTCCTCCTTTTCACTGACCTTCCACTTTTCCAAGCATAATAGCCTTCTCCAAGGACTAGTCCCTTCTGATAACATGCACAAAGTATGAGAGACCATCCTCCCTTCTAAGAAGCATACTGGCTCTGCTTCTTGACAGAATTGTTTGTTCTTTTAGCAATTCATGTTACTTACAATATTTTTCTCCATCAATTCTTCAGAGGTCTTGTATATTCACCATCCAGCTTTTATACGCACATAAGGTGACTGAAAATACCACGGCTTAGGGCAAGTGCACCTTTGTCCTCAAACTTATTTCTTTGCTCTTTATTACTGTGAAGAGGTCTTGTGCAGATATGCCTAATGCATATTGATTTCTTCATTGTTGCGTCCATGAGTACTGATTGAAGATCCAAGCAAAATGAAAGCTTTGATCTTTTTTTTTTTGACAGCTTCAATCTTTTCTCCATTTTTCATAATGTTATTTATTTGTCCACTTGTGAAGATTTTTGTTTTCTTGACATTGAAGTGTAATTCATACTGAATGAAGGCTTCATCTGTAAATTCAAGTCCTCTTCCCTTCCAGCAAGCAAAGCTGTGTCATTTGCACACAACAAGTTGTTAATGAGGTTCTTCCAAAACTGATGTCACATTCTTTTTCATGTAATCCAGTTTCTCAGATTATTTCATCAGTATACAGATTCAATAAGTATGATGGAAGATGCAACTCCAGCACTGACTGGTCCTAATTTTAAACTGTACCTTATTCTCTTGTTCTGTTTGAATAACTGCCTCTTAGACTATGTACATGTTCCTCATGAGCACAGTTAAGTGTTCTTTACATTCTTTACAATGTTATCTGTAGTTTGTTATGATTCACACAGTCAAATTCCTTTCATAGTCAATAAAGCACAAATAGACATCTTTCTGGTATCCTTTGCTTTCAGAAAAGAATTATCTGACATCAGCAGTGATACCCCTAGTTGCATGTACTCTCCTGAATCCAGCTTGAATTTTGGTAGCTCCCTGTTGATGTACTACCAAAAATTTTTAAAATTATCTTCATAAAAATTTTACTTGCTTGTGATACTAATGACATTTACAATTTCTTCATTCTATCGGGTCATGTTTCTTTGGAATGGGCACAAATATGGATCTTTTCCAATTAACTGGACAGGTAGTTGTCTTCTAGATTTCCTGCCATAGACAAGGGAACAACTCTAATACTACATCAACTTCTATTCTGTCAGTTCCTGGAACCATGTTTTTCACCGATGCCTTCTGTGCAACTTGGACTTAGTCCCTCGATTCCATTGGTTCTTGATTATATTTTACTTCTGGAAATGATTACTTTTTTTTTTTTTTTTTTTTTTTTTAAACTCTTATGCCTTCAATGGGAGCATGGTGGCTCTGTAGGATAAGCACTGGACTGCAGACCACAAGGTTGGCAGGTTGAACCCACCAGTGGCTCCTCAGGAGAAACATGAGGCTTCCTCACCTTATAGCCTTGGAAACCTACACAGGGTGGTTATGAGTTAGAATCAATTTGATGGCACTTAACAACAACAATAAAAAGCCTTCAAGCAAAGACATGGGGGGGGGGGAGTAGTTCTTACTTTTGAAAGCAAAAAACAGATATATTTGAAGAAACTAAAGGAATTGATAATCCTATCTCTAATATAATATGTGTCTTAATAAAAAGATTTCTTTTGGACAAGTTGAGATCCAATCTAAACATCATGAAATATAATTAATTATATCATTTAAAAAAGTCACTGAACAGCTTTATATTAATACTCAAACTGATTTACATCCATTTAGTTATATGAAAATAAGTAAAATATGAAGTTGCATATGTTGTACATACCACAGGATTTTCAAAGATCTGCCAGAGGTCATTGTTGTAATGGGAAGTATTATAATTAGCTGTTGATAACAGCCTTCCAAATTCATGTCTATTAGAAATATACATAAATACACCCTATGTATCAAAAAAAAAAAAAAAAATTAACAATCCCACAGAAAAATACAAGAAAACAAATTTTACGGTTAGGAAAAAAAAAAGGAGGTATGGCTTCAAATGTTATATTTTGTTCATAAACCTGCATTTTTAGTTTTATTAAAAAAATGCATGAGTGAAGTAAATGAAATTTTGATTAATTATTAATTCAGACACCACACAAAACTAATTGGTAGCACTCACACTGAACTGAAAAATAGAAGAGGAAGAATGGATTGTTTTTGTCCCTTTCTCATTAATTCTAGATGGAGACTTCAGAAAAGAAATTCCTGTTTGAAAGCAGAAACATTTTTTGAGACACAATAATGCTATGAACTGTATACCTCCTTTGTCTTCTTTCCATTTCAAAGAAGATAAAAACACAGTTTTGAAATTTGAAAATTCAATATTATTTCATCAATCGATTTCATTCTTTTATTTTCCTGATATTTTAAAACTGAGCAGAGTTAATTAGTAAAACTTATATATTATAAGGTAAGTAAGGAATATAAGTTTCATATGTATGTCTCAAACCAAATAAACGTAACAAACAGAACCACGGCATGTTTTTTATTTTTTCCTTTTGTACCTGTTTTAATGGTATAAAGTTTAGTGATTACTTTTAAAAGAAAATAATGTAAGCATTCAAGTTTCATTTTATTCAAGATATACCTTATACGTACTCATATAGCTTCTCAGAGTCCTGATGTGGCACTGTACATGAAACACTGGACTGTTAACAACAAAGACAGTGGTTCCAACCCACAAGCCACTCCTCGGGAACCCTATACAGGGTTGCTATGAGTCAGAACTGAATCAACGGCACTAACAATAGCGGCTCACAAATAAAGGGGAAAAAATAATAAAAGGCTAGAAAAAGTAGTAAAAATGACTTATGTTTAGCTTTCTCACCTTCCAAGTATCAAATGTAAATCTTCTGACGAAACAAGAGTTGAACATCATGGGCAAATAGGCACCCACACACAGGCACACACACATGCATATATACCAATTAAGAACCAATGAATACCAACATTTTTACCAAGCTAAAAGGAAAGAAAGTTCTTAAGGAACTTTTGTGCTAGCATATATGCCATATCTATTATTAATTATATAAACAAAATAAATAAATAAATAAAAATAACACCTTCGGGGGTCTGAGCATTTGGAATGTTTCCGGAGTAGGGGAGTCTTTTTCCCTTTGTAAAGTCTAAAATGAAGAGAAGCATTAGGTAAGTTGACCTGCATACTCTCTCTCAGCCCTTGATCAAAAGCTGACATTTTGAAATGCCCTCCATCGACAGCATGCAGGACAAGCAAAGCTTATAGCACAAACATAAAGAACAACTCCAGTCCTTTCTCTTCTGTCATTTTTTTTTTTTTTAAACTAAAACATAACTCCAAGCTCATTCTTTAATAGAACTTTCAGTAGACATAAAATTAAGACAAAGGGGAAAAAAAGAAAAAAATGAGTAGGCGAGAGGCCATTCCAGGATGCACTGTTGGGTCAAATTAGCCAAACATGAGCACAAATTGCAATCACAGGTACTGAGGATATTCAGTGTATCTATGCACATAAAGTTGTAGGGAAACAAATATATTAAAACAACATACATGCCTTGTTAAACTAAGAAAATTAATAAAATAAATACTTGCCAACTTTTCTGATTTTCCCCCAAAGTTGTACTTGTGCATATAATTTATGCATATGTAATTTATAAATAAAATAGCTAAATGATTTTTAAAACAGACCATCATCTAAATATGTCTCAAGACATGTTTATACATTTTTAAATGGTACTTCTATTTTCTATGGTCATTTGCATTTATAAAACTATAGCTGTAGAATAGCAACATATTATTAATTTTTCATATATATTAAATATATGACATATCTTAATCCTTCTCCCAACTTAGTGGTTCAGAATCTTCTTTTTGAAAATAGGGAAGGTAATAATACTATGAAAATGCATCTACTTAGAGAAAACATATTGACTTATTTCCAAATAAAAATGTGTACTTTTTAAATATATAAATAATCATTTCATCAGAATTGCAACTAATTCAAATTTGGCCTAAGTTTCACTACAGATTTTCAAATGAAAATAAAGTTGAACTCCAAAAACTGTAAAAGTTGATTTGTTAATAGGTCCATGCTTACTACTGAAAACCTCCTATTGCTTATGAATTAGGTTGGGAATCAAATTTTCCATTTTTAAATTGTATGCTTGCAGGTAAATACAAATTATTTTCTAAAATTATTCCCAGTTTTCCAATACATAACCAAAAAAATTGGCCAGTACTTTCATATTAGAAAGAAAAAAGGCATCAAAAACAATGACATGACAATTGATAAAGCAAGCCATGTTGTAAGAACATTCAAAAAAGCCATCATGGTATACCTTACCATTTCTCTAGTGTTTCGGCAAAGAGCCATATCAGGGTCCAATTTATCACGAACAAAGTAGTTCCTTTCATTCATCTCTGATCGGAGTGTCTCTCCTTTAATTAAGTATACATTGGCCATATATGGGACATTCCATATCCCTCTAAAAGTAAAGAAAAGATAGTCCAAAACACCACAAGTACAAAAAATGTTTAAATGTAAAGTTTTGACTATAAATATTACGCATGTTTCTAAAATTTGTATATATACACTACTGAATAAATTACGCGCAACACATTTAATGACATTTGACATATATACATATAAGTCTAAATGAAGGTGATTTTTTAAATTCTGAAGTATCAAATTTATTTAAAATGTTTAAATCTGAGTACTTCATATTCTGGTTTACTTTTATATAGCATGCACAAGAAATTATGAAAATAAATTGCAAAGTAATTGAATTAATAGGTATGCACTACTTGAGATTTAAGAGAAGATTCACCATTTTTCTAGATAAATTTCAGTAAAATAAAGTGTTGAGAATCCGTTTGCCACTTTACCTATCATTCCTCATTTAGTTGTTGCAGTTAAGCAAATAATATTCTATTGTACAGAATTTGTTCCCATTTAAGGTAAAGCAATTGATACCAAAAATAATAAAATACAATCTGTGGCATGCAAGAGTAAGCTCACAATGATCCCAAGAGCTGATTTTTAACATCTTTTTTGAAGTTTATGTTTAGTGACTTCACATCAGAATACTGAAATTTTTATATCACAATACTGGCAAATGCGACAAATCAGAGCACCCTAAAGAGTCAAGGTGGTTCTGTGGTCTAGGGTGTTAGGCTGCTATCCTTAAGGTTGGTAGTTCAAACCCACCAGCCGCTCCACAGGAGAAAGATAATGCTGTCTGCTCTCAAAGAGTGCTAATCTCTGAAATCCTATGTAAAGGTCACTATGAGTTGGTATCAATATGATGACAGTGGATTTTTAGTGTATTGTTTTGTTTAATTCCTAAAATCTAGTTATTAGCCACTTACCAGCATCCTACTGAATATAACCTAAAATTCTCTTAAAAGATATCTCCTTGAAGCTCATTACGTACGGTATCTCAAATCCTTGCAGAAAGAGGATGACCATAAAGAAGTGTACTTTGAAGCACAGGAGTGTTGGGAGACACTTTCCTTTGCCCTTCATTCTTTTCTGTGCCTACCTCCTCACCATGAACATGACTCATTGCTAAGAGCATCTTATAAGAACCACTATAAGGTTTTGCTTGAATAGTGGTTTCTGTTGCTTTTTAAGAAACAGCAAGGGAGAAACTTTACCAAAGAAATGCAATTATATGAATATATTAAAAGTAATATATCATTTTGCCTTGCTAGACCAGACTCAAAGGAAATGGCCTTAAAAAGAAGTATACAATGTGCCAGCTGAATGGAGAAATTCATCACTGGTAGAATGTGCAGTGTTTTAATTTTGAAGGGAAAAATATATACATATATATGTATGAACACACATACATATATTTGTTATAAGATGTCATTCCTTTACATAGCTTTTGGGGTTTTTTTTTTACATCAATTGTGTTCTTGTACTACTGGATCAAAAATTTATACCATAATTTTTCCTTACACTTTAAAAAAAAATAAGAGAAGGTTGGACAGAATATTACCAGAGTCTAAGGCAACTTAATTGAACATGGTTTTTCTATCCAAGTTCTGTGAACCCTTATTTGCAAACCAAGACAATTATTAGTCTATACTAATAATCCCAGAGTCAACAGGAGTATTTTGAAAGTACAGGATATAATCTTAGGAGTGTTTTCTCAGGTTTCATGCTTCTTAATTACTGTTAAAAAAAATCCTTTCGTATACTTACATCAGTCATATTTAACCTTTCTATACTTTCATAAGCAAAACATCCTTTGATTACTTAAGTGTTCATATGGAATATGCGATTTATTTTCTAACTTTGAAAGTAGATACCTGTAATTGTGACAGTATGTTTTTGGTTGGACACACATCTGGGAACTAAGGCAGAGCTTTTAGGGACATATAGTCGCCATAATCTATGCTTCTTGTTGTTGCTATAAAGGCCTGTCTAGTCAGTTCTGATTCATAGCGACCCTGTATTGGGTTTCCAAGGAGCAGCTGGTGGGTTTGAACCACCAATCTTGTGGTTAGCAGTCCAGTGCTTATCCTACAGCACCACACTAGGAATACCATCTAGGTTTACTGTTTAGGGGGGAAAAATGGCATTCTACCCTGATGATACCCATGATAGCAAGATGATTTCTATAGTGATGATTTTGTAGCTTAAAATATAAACTGTGTTCTCTAAAATAAGTATCAATCATGGATCCACTTTGCACCTGGTAGCAAGTATATTATTTTCAAATCTTTTAGAACACATGCCAGTTATTGGTAAAGAAACTGAACTTTAAAGCACAATATTAGCTACTTATCAAAAAAAACCTCAGACAATCGAGAATCTGGGGTTACTGATATGTTCACCTATCTATAATTTTTAGAGGTATCAGAGCAACCTCATCTTGGCCACTAAATGAATTGGATAAAATAAAATTACTTTGCAAGCCTTTAACTAAAGTGTATTATTTTTCTACTGACAAGAAGATATCTACTCATAACTATCTCTTTGTATCTCTCACAATAAAATGAGCTTCTTCTTTTGAAAACTTCAAACCATATAAGCAAAGTTTTTAAAAAATATTATTAGTTATGCACATATATTTTATTGATTCCATGGTACCAAATATCATCCAGGCCCTAACATTTTCATTGAACATAAACAAAAAAGATGTGCAAAAAAAAACCCCAAAACACAGTCAAGTAATATTATTAGCATGATCACATCTTTAGATCCTGGCATTTTACATTTAAAATTAAACTGAGTACTTACACTCTATTCCCTTGAACAATGTCTACGTAATCTTCAGATCGAGCATAGTATCCATCAGGACTCAATGCGCCCCAGAAATTGGACCACAGCTTTCCATGACGAGTTACCAGAGGAGCAATAATTTTTCTAAAGAGAGAAGGAAATAAGTCATATAACTAATTCATTTTTAATTACCACAAAATAAATGGTATATTTTTTTGCTTAGTAAGACAGCTAACATACCTCTTAATATTCCCCAAAAAAGTAAAATAACAAGAGGAAGATCTTCCCAACACCTATTGTATAGGAGTACACTAATTTTCAATCTTAAAGAGAGTACAGGAAAAATAAAATGTAATTGAAAATACTTAGGAAAGCATAAAAACGAAGTTGAAAAGGAACATACATTAAAAAAGTTAAACTACTTTAAATTCTATTTCAATTTAATTTAAGTATGTCAGAAATTAAGCCAATTATAGTCAAATATTCCTATTACTACTGGGCAAAAAGAATGGTGGTGATGTGTTGTGGAGTCAGTTCCGACTCATAGCGACCCTGAACAGGGTTTCCGAGGCTGTAAATCTTTACGGGAGCAGAAAGCCTCATCTTTCTCTCGCAGAACAGCTGGTAGTTTCGAACTGCTGACCTTAAGGATAGTAGCCCGATTCGTAACCACTACGCTACCAGAGCTCCTTGGGCTGAAAGAATAGCCATGGTAAATTAAGGTAGCCGTTATTGAGTTTCTTAAAAAGAAGAATGAAAATGGGCTAAGGGATTTGTAAATTGCCCAACTAATTACTTACTCTATAAATAGGTCAGTTAAAAAAAAAAAAAAATTAGTCCCAAATTAAAGCAAGTTTTCATTTTTAAAAATAATTTTAAATATATATATGACTATAGCAAGCTAGCTCTGGAAATTCCAAGCACATCTTTCCTGTTCTTTAGGCTATGAGCTAGGTGTTGGGCTGTTAACTGAAAGGTCAGCATTTCAAACCCACCAGCTATTCCAAGGGAGAACGATGAGGTTGCCTGCCCCTGTAAAGATTTGTGTTGTTGTTAAATCCCATCGAGTTGGTTCCGACCCACAGTGATCCTGTATAGGGTTTCCGAGGAGCTGCTGGTGAGCTTGAACCGCTGACTTTGTGGCTCAAACCAACTTTGCAGTGCCACACCTATATTGGGTCACTGTGAGTTGGAATCAACTTGATGACAGTGAGTTTAGTTATGGTTTTAACTACTTCAGGAAACAAAGTAGAGGATAATTGACATACTGTTCTACTTTATTACCTCCCGAGAAAGTGGTTCCTTTGAGACAAGTACATGTTATAAATTCAAAACATGACAGATTTCTCCATGGCGTTGTTGGTAAGTGCTGTTGAGTTGGTTCTGACTCATAATGACTCTCTATGGTATTTCTGAGGAGTGACTGGTGGGTGTGAGATTAACAGTCTAGTGCTTATCCTACAGCACCACACATGGACTCTTGATTTCTCCTTAAAGAAGTCTACTTTATAACGTGTTTACATTTTCCAAATAAGAAAAAAATCTGATGTTCCTCTAAGAAATTTTCAAATATGAAATGAACTACAGTAGACTACTGTCAACCTGGATTGAGACCTGGTTGGCCAGTAGTATGGTGAGACCTGGGGATTCCTGAGCCCAGGGACAAAGGATATGCCACAGAGGGCTAACTAGACTGTAGAGTAAAGCATCCAGCTGATATGAAGTGAGGGGATATACACAAGAACACCCATACTAGCAGATAGTACCCATTTCACCTGGCTTCCATGGCTGGATGATCAGAACTTGACTAGAGGAAGAAAGAAGAGGAAAAAAAAAGTAATCTGCTACAATTTGATGAACTTGACCTATACTTATAGATATAGTAGCTCAAAAGAGGGAACAAATCTTTACAGTGAGGATCATTCCCACCCTGTCAGTACACAGGGTTGACAGAGATGAGCAACTTAGACACTGGCTACCCAAAATGGGCAGCTACAAAGACACAAAGTGACTGGCTTACAAGCTTTCAAGAGGGAGCCTAGTTCCAGAGGGCGCGGGGGAAGGTAGAATCTCCACTGAGTAGTTTCCAACCTGTCTGGATGGGGCTGATGAAAGGAGATTGTGATAAGACTCTTGTGGTTCAATAGTGAATAATTGCTATCAGGACTGATTGTGAGTGATGCAAATATAAAGGTATACATTTTGTAACAAAAGGAGGGGAGTAGTTTATCTTGCAGTCCAGGAGCGGAGGACCCTGGGACTATCAAGGGAGAAGAGCAGAGTACAGGACCCTATCCAGAGAAGCAGCAGCGAGGACAGAGATGGAGGCAGAGAAGATGATATGGAGAGATGGAGCAGCTGGGGACTCTGGACTCAGGGAGGAAGAGGGGCTGTATGCTCACAGCCAGGGGTCAGGCTTGTGGGGCGTATCCTTTGGTTGTTTGAATGGTTATATATTCCTGAGTGCTTCCGGTGTACTTCCAAAAAACAAACAAACAAAAAAACAGAGGAAATGGAAGCAAATGCTGTTGAATGATGATGCATGGAGGGAACTGTAATCATTGCAATGAAACAAAATACGATGGGGTTACTGTAAAGCTGATGTTGTCCCATGTAAACTATCACTCAATTCACAATAAAAACTTTAAAAAATTAAAAAATGAAGTGAGCTGTCGTGGTATCATCTAATTTTTAAGAAAAGCTCCCACAATTCCTAAAAAAGTAAGTTTATAGACTATGTGCCACAAACAACAACAACAAAAAGCCTAGTTCACAACACTCCAATTTTGTGAAGGCCAGGTGGGCCTTTTTTTTCTTATAAATACAAAAGTGAAACAAAATAGTTAAATACGCATTATGCAAAATAATAATTTAGGTTAATTTTTCCCAATTCCTATTAAGGTAAAATATTAATCAGAAAGTTTTATTTTGTTTTGTTTAGACTATATATGATATTGAAAATACAAAATTAAGATCTATGTGTTACATTATTCAGTGTCAATAACTGGAAATATCAAATATTTAATAGGGGAAAAAAAATCTTTGAAATTTATAATCCCAGCTGCCTCGAAAAACAGGTTAGATCTAGAAACTTGTAAAACACAAATTCATTTGCTATTTACTTCAATGTTTGGGACTATAAAAATTTACGACTAACAGCTGAGAGATGATGAATTTCATTACTGAATTTAGAGAGTAAAACCTAGATAAAGACAGCAAATAGCAGAGATGGGATGAAGAGATGATGAAAGCAGCAAATGAGTTTCTGTTAAGTCGCAATCCTAACACATGATACCTCTAGCCTTCAATACGTTTACCAAATCTCACCAAAGACTTGTGTACATAAATTTCTTATGGAAACCAAAGGTTGGATATAGAAGAAAGAACCAAAAGGTAAAATGAACTAAAAATCTTTGATAATTAATATGATACTTAAAATTAGACACAAAAACTGAGTTTTACTAACATTCTAAAAGACAAGGAATTCTAGTGTGATGCTGTGGGTTAATGCACCAGACTGCAAAGCCATTTGAACTACAAGGTCGGCAGTTCAAGCTCACCAGCCGCTCCTCGGAAACTCTATACAGGGTCACTAAGGGTCAGGATTGACTCGATGGCACTTAACAACAACAACAGACAAGGCTCCAAAACGACAATTGGGTTATGTATCAGGAAACTTTATTTTTAGATGGGATAAAAGATCACATTAACACTAAGGGGATTATGTTAAATAAATTATATTCATAAAACGTTTCTCTATGAAGAGTCCTGGTATGGCACTGTGGGCTAATGCATCAGACTGAAAAGTCGTTTAAACTGCAAGGTCTGATGTTCAAGCTCTCCAGCTGCTCCTTGGAAACCTTACACAGGGTCACTATGGATCAGAATCGACCCAACAGCACTTAACAACAACAACAAGACGCTTGTTGTTATTAAGTGCCATCAAGTAGACTCCAACTCATAGCACCCCTGTATAAGGTTTCCAAGGTTTGCTAACCACCGACTTTGTGGTTAGCAGTCCAGTGCTTATCCTACAGCACCATACCTGGACTCCCACTATGAGATTAATAATCTTATCATTGTGTCATAAAATAAAAACAGTACTGGACTGCTAATTGTGAAGTCAGGAGTTCAAACCCACCAGCTGCTCTTGGGTTGCTATGACAACAACAAATAGTATTAAAAACATATGTATATTACACAGTATTGTATTTTGATCAAATTAAGAAAAATTTAGACTGCAAACTCAAGAAAATATTAGTGAATTCTGCTAGGTCTTATGACTTATAAATTTCAACTTTATTCTATATTTCTTGCAATCCAACTGCCTTTGAAATCCCTATCCATATGCATTGGAAAATTAAATACAATTTATAGGTCATCATTTCCAAGGAATGCAAGTTTATATGCAGATTGTTTCTGAGAAGTCTTAAATTGTGAGGTAAAACTGATTTGTCAAGTTCTAGTATCATGATATTGTTAGAAGCCATCGAAGTCAGTTCTGACTTATATTAACCCTGCACTGGGTTTCCAAGCAGTGCCAAGAGAGTTTGAACTGCTGAACTTGTTGTTAGCAGTCCAGTGCCCATCCTACAGTGCCACACCGGGACTCCATTGCATTATAGAGTAGGTGAATGGAGCACAATAGATTTTCCACATGCTTTGTACAAAAAACTAAAATAGTCATCAACTAAGTATGTTATCCATTAAGAAAAGAAAATTGTGTATATATATATATACATATATATATACAATTTATGTATATATAAACACAATTTATATATATATATTTATATATATGTATATATAAACACAATTTATATATATATACATACTTAGAATAATCCTTGCAATTTAGTAAGATTCATTAAAGGTGAATATCAGAAGCAGTAATAACAGCAATTACTAAGTAACAGTAGTAATTGCTTTTGTTGTTACGTGCTGTCTAGTTGGTTCCGCTCACAGCAAACCTGTATAGGGTTTCCAATGAGTGGCTGGTGAGATTTTGCAGTTGAAACTGACCTGGTGTCCAGTGCATTACCCTGTTATGTCACACCAGGACTCCAACAGTAGTATTGTTGTTGTATGCCATTTAGTCGATTCCGACTCATAATGACTCTGTATAGGGTTTCCGAGGAGTAACTAGTGCTAGTGAAGATTAATATTATACAATCATAAACATGGTGATATTTCCATTTCAGCTCAGTTAAATGAAAATTGTATCGCTGAGTGTTAACTAGAAAGTTCATATTGCTTAAGAGCCACATGATTTGTGAAAATGGACTTTAGAAGATTTGGGTATTGTGAAAAGAACATATTGCATACAAGCAGTCCATGCATTATGAACAAATTCCATTCCTAAATCTGTCTTTAAATCAAGCATTATGTAAGGCAGAACAGTTACTCATAGTTAGGATCTAACATCAGTCAGTCAAACTTTTGTATTAATATATAGTACATAGTATACGTTTCTGTGTATCAAAATCATTAAAGAAGCACTTCCCAATATACTGAAACATCTTTAATAAAATTGTTGTTGACAAGTGCCATCAAGTTGGTTCAATGATGTGGTAAAAACAATGTTCTGATTAGCATCACAAAGTAATACCTGATTTTTTAGTATAAACCACTGTATGTACCTCAAGGTTTTAATATAATAGTTTTTACAGGGGATCAGGTTAGTCCTAGAGGAAAAGCACTGGACTGTGAACTATCAGGTCAGTGGTTCAAGCCCACCAGTCACTCTGCAAGAGAAATATGAGGTTCTCTCCTCCCGCAAAGATTTACAGCCTCAGAAACCCCACGCAAGGTTGCTATGAGTCAAAACGGACTCAACGACATTTAACAACAAGAAGTTTTATAGAGTTTGGAACCATGGGCATATATGCTATAAGATGTTACCCAAAGGGGTGTTATAAGGTGTATAACAATAGCATTCAAGAAACTATAGTTAGGACCATAGGATGCTTTATGCCTCTGAAATTTCTTTCATATTCTAAGAATTACAACTCTGTACAATATATAGGTTTTAGGCCAGAAGTTTTACATCATTTATTAATAAACAAAACAACATAGAAAATATAGCAATTTAAAATTTTATTATTCTCAGAAGTATCATAATTCTACCTAACTTTTTATAGAGTAAGCAAAATACAATTGGAAAACATTGCATTTGTGACTGTAATTAATATTAAGTATGTCTAAACTATTATCAGATCCTTTTCCACTTGACTTCTTTTAAAAAACTAATTAAAATGGGAAATTTATAAGGTATAAAAAATTAGAGTGAATTCCTCAACTTGCTAAACACAGACAAAAAAATACAGCGTGTTCCAAAGGTAATACCCTATATGTATAAATGTAGAATAATTACCATTTTAATAATTAATTGATACAGAATCTTATATAATACCTGTTTTGTTCAATCAAAATTTTTAAAGTCCTCGGGTTTGTCAAAACAACATCCGAATCCACACTAAAGTAGTAATTGCATTTTTCATCCTGACGGCAAAAATCCCTGACATTGAAAAAGAAAATGAAATAAAGTTAGAAAGAATAAACGTGCAATAATTGAAAAAGTATTTTTTAAAAAAACCTGCCATTTTCTTATACGTAAAATAAAGTTTCTCTAATATGCTTTCTAATCAAAATGGTGAGATAATATCTAAAATGAAAAATTATCTTAAATTTCAAAATGATCAATTAATCAACACAGATGATCACACGTGGTCTATACTAAAATTTTAGGACAAGTAAAATATATTACCAAGTCATGGAACTTTTTAAGGCATAAGTTAAAAAGTCAGTCAAAAGAGTAATTTGCAATTATATCCTTTATAATTATAATTTGTAATTACAGTCCTTTCTGAAGCGGGGGGTGGGTCATTTATTCTGATGTATTTATTAACAACTTTTTTCACAAGTCAAGATGCTTTTTATGCACACAAATACAGAGATAATATAAAAAAATTTGTTCCTGAAACAGCTCAATTTTAAACAAATCTTACAGATAAAAGTGTGAAACTTTTCAGGTACTAATACTTCGAGAAATTGATTTGCATGGAATTCTTTCTATAATAGATCATTCCCTCCCTTCTTACCAGGAAAGCCTACTAAGTTCACTTGGTAAGGTCTGCAGCACTATCGTTAGTGACATCACACCAAAGACTGAGCCTTATGGGAAATGTTCCCACATATTATGTCTTTAGCATTTTGAGTTTCCCTTTTTCAGTCATGAGGACCCTGCCTCATGGCTGGTTCCAAATACCACATTCTGTTGTTGTTAGTGTGTATCTCTGCACCACATTTATTTTTAAGGCCAAAAAGCTTCTTGGCTGGAAAACTTGTTAAAAAATGGTGTAAATAATTGAAAATAAATTCTGAAGGGTTATCTAATGAATTAATTATGAAATCATTAGTAAAGGCATGTGTTTGGTTTTTCAGAGTCCTGTTTTCTTGCCTGCCCATATGTTCCCACACCAAGCAGAATGCATCACTCCGGAACCTAAGATTCCATAGCACGAAATATTATCGTTAATAGTAGAAAATAATATACCCTGCTGAGATGCCACCATATCTCTGTCAACTTTGGGTCAGCATCTCTCAATACAAGACCTGGATGATTTAATCAACCTTCACTGAGTCGATTCTTATTTTTAATACTGTCTAAGTTTTATTTATGGTATGAAGAATCCCAAAGACTCAGCAAACAACCTCCAATCACTCTTCTGGAGGTTATAGTAGTATTTAGGTTGCTGTTGTTGTGAAGTGCCACAGAGTCAATTGTGACTCACAGAGATCCTGTGATGGGTTTCTAAGGAGCAACTGGTGGGCTTGAACCATTAACCTAGCAGTTAGCAGACCAGTGCTTATCCTACAGCTCCACACCATGACTATTTATCTAGAAGGAGCTCTGGCAGCGTAGTGGTTATGACTTGGGCTGCTAACCTCAAGGTCTGCAGTTTGAAATTACCAGCTGTTCCACGGGAGAAAGATGAGGCTTTCTGATCCTGTAAGATTTACAGTATCAAAAACCCTGTGCAGGGTCACTATGAGTCGGAACCGACTCCACGGTACTTAACAACAACAACAAAATGTATATATCCTTCTTTCCCTATAAGGGGAAACACATTTTTACCATACACACAACCTTCATCTAGTAAATAATTAAATCACTTCAATACTAGTGTTATATTTATTAATTTTTTCTGTACACTTCTATTTAAAATCTTGATCTGAAGCCCAATTACTAAGTTGATTAAATGTGTTGATTCCTATTCATTAAAAGAAAAATGTCACTAACTTCCATAAATTTTTTATGTGAATTAATGCAAACACAAACACATTCTTTTGAGACACCCAAGTTTAGAATTCTAATTTTGAGGAAAGGTTTGCTTTTACTTAGTCTCTTTACTAGAAAATATTCAAATTTATTAAACCTACATTCCCATGTTTCTGGCTTCAGCTTGACTTAGATTTTCTTCTGGTCCTACTATTTTTATAGTACTGATTTCATGTTTAGCTTTATCAAAAAATTCTTTGATGTCCTTTTCATGATAGACTTCCTGTAACACAGTTAAAATACCAAAAATTAGAAAGACAATAAGATGACTGTTGTGAATCCCACAATCAACATATTCATTCCATTACAGATAAATGATAGTCATATTAAACACTCTGTATTTAAATATCACTTAAATGTCATATGAAGAATCTAAAATAGGTACATACTAATAAATCTTTAAAGAGAGGATATTTCAAGACTCTTCACACAGCTACTTCCAAACAGGTCTTGACATTAATGTTTAAATTGGGAATGCTATAAAACTTTTCAAAATCAAAAAGGAAAAACTGCTCATAGCCTAAGTATTATAAAATATAAACAAAGCTCATTTAAGCTAATAAATATTAATTTAAGTTGCAAATAAAGATAGTCATATTTTACAAAAGAAAATACTACAGTATTTTTTAAAACCAGAAAAAAGGTAACATATATAATTTTCCTTCAACAAATAGAGTAGAAAGCTGAACAAACGTTGTTGTTACAAAAATGTTGTTGTTGTTAAGTGCCATCGAGTCGATTCCGACCCATAGCAACCCTGTACAGGGTTTCCAAGGCTGTAAATCTTGACAGGAGTAGAAAGCCTTATCTTTCTCCCGCGGAGTGGCTGGTAGTTTTGAACTGCTGACCTTTAAGGTTCGCAGCCTGATTCATAACCACTAGGATGAGAAAATTATTAATCTGGGTAAATTAATCAAATCAATGTGATTGTACTGTGCAAAAATTTAGATAAGATTATCTGTCTTCATTCTAATAGCAGTTCAATGCTTTTATTATCTCACTAAATATTTCTGAAAAGTTCAGACTTTCACACCTTTTTAAACCCACCATAGCTAATTTTAGGTAAAATAAGAGAAGATAAAAATTCCTACCCTCAAGAAGTTTAAGGTCCTAGGAATACAGGCAAGCATAAATGAAAGACACAATACATAATAAATAACTTAGATGTAAGTACATATATTACAATGTATTTTACTAAGTAAGTGTTCTCAATGGTTCATCCTTTTAAATTCATTTTATCTGGTTTTCTACAAAATTAAAATACTGTCTTTTGAAAAATAAATGACTAGCTAACATGTATGACGAGAAGGAAAAATAATGGCATATGAAAAGTTTTAGGACAGGAGAGAAAATATCAGTCAATTTAATTACTTTTTCTTAATGATTTTAAGTACAAACTATTTTCATAGAAAAGGGACAAGTAAATGGAAAAATATTTAGGAAGTAATGTATTTAAATTTAGACTATGTGGGAGGTGTTTGGGAAGTTCTTAATACTCTTGAAGGAAGTAATGATTATCTAATTGCTTGGGGAAGAGCATGGCATTGTGTCTTGAATCTAGATAATACTCCATCTGGAAGCCATTTCTAGTTGAGATTTTATAGTGTTATAAAAAGTTGTAAATGATAGAAAACAGAAGTCAAAGGAATATAAGATTCTTTAATATCTCCATTATTTATTAAGTTGAATCATATGATAATGGCTAATATCCAATCATTTTTTATCTACATTGAGTCATAATATTATGGTATTGGTTTATACATTCTAAAATCCTTAGATCCAATAATGGAAAGACAGTAATCACTCTAAAATTACTCTACAAAATTATGTAATGAATTCTTTTAGACATAAATAAATAAACCAGGAAAGTGTTCCAAACAATATCTAAAATAGTTTGCAAATAGAATATTCAAATTTCAAATACTTACTTTATTATGAATAAAGAGTTTAAGTACTTCTTTTGGATACTCCAATGTCAATAGCATGTCCAGAAATCGAGACAGGAAAGGTGTAGGTTGTTCAATAAAAATGCCTATTGTTACATTTGGATAGACCTATGTTTTATGGCAAAAAAATAACAAAAAAATATAATTGATGAAGTTTCAATTTAATCCTTGTGCAATTCTTAATTAGCGTAATAGAAAATATAAGAATCTTTGTATCGGGTTAGCTAAATTTGAATTGACTCATTGCAGTTTTCTAATTCTCGACTTTTTTGTGTACCCTATCAAAGTAATTTTACTGTATCACATCTTTGCGTTCACTTAGATTTGAGGAGGAAGTATGCCTATTTGCTATATTTTCCTATAAATTTAGAATTAAAGATATTATCTAATCTATTAATGTTTCTATTATGATAGTCCTTAAAGAAACTTCCATTTCAAATCTAAATGTTATTTTTGAAACTTCATCTAAGAAACTTGAAAGCTTCCCTTTTCGTTTTCATTAATACAGAGCTTAGGGTAGCCCAAATGAAGCAGTAATAGAGGCCTTTAGCGCCTTTATTACTATCCTGAAATATTCCCTATAATCTTGAAAGTCTGTTATTTTCCTTCATTATCATTATGTTGTTGTTGTTAAGTACCTTCAAGTTGATTCTGACTCATAATGACCCTGTATTGGGTTTCCAAAGAGCACCTGGTGAATTTGAACTACTGACCTTGTGGTTCAAACTGACCTTGCAGTCCAGTGCATTATATTCATGTAAAGAAAGCTATTTAACTTCTCTGGTCTATTTTATCTTATTTAAGAAAAGCTGTTTTAACTTCTCTAGTCTATTTTATTTTATTGTACTGTATTTTATATATTTTTGTAACTCCTCTTTCCTATATTTTACTATGCAGATTCTCTTTCACACATAGCATGAAATGTATGCCAGGCCTTGTGGTAACATTTAGAAAAAGGAGAGAAATTCCTGGCTTGAAAAACTTACAGATGGTTGGAGAAGACAGAAACATAAGTAAACTACAATTGTTGTTGTTGTTATGTGCCATCGAGTCGGTTCCGACCCATAGCGACCCTGTACAGGGTTTCCGAGGGTGTAAATCTTTACGGGAGTAGAAAGCCTCATCTTTCTCCCGCGGAGCACCTGGTAGTTTCGAACCGCTGACCTTAAGGTTCGCAGCCCGATTCGTAACCACTACGCTACCAGAGCTCCTTTAGTAAACTACAATATAAGGTGTTATTACCAGACTATACAAAATATTTCAGTACAAAGCCTTTTGAAAACTATGTCTTAATGCCCAAATTTAAGGATTGCTGTTGTTCTTAAGTGCCATTGCGTTGGTTCTCCTTACTCATTGGGACCCTGTGTGAAGTATCATGTGTGAAGGATGGGGAAAAGTACCTAACTCAACAATAAGCATATTTAACAATCTGTAATCCTTAAATTGGAGTCCTGGTATGGCTCTGTGGGTTAATGCGCCAGACTGCAAAGCCATTTGAACTGCAACATCGGTGGTTCAAGTTCACCAGCTGCTCCTCGGAAACCGTATACAGGGTTGCTATGTGTCGGAATCAACTTGATGGCACTTAACAACAAAAATCCTTAAATTATCTGTATGTAAGTTAGTAGTTATTTGCATTGATGCACATCTTGTACATTGTTCTATTTCATTAGTCTTTCGATTCATCGATTCATCTACTCACACAAAGTATTTAACATTAAATGAATGAACAAATACAAAAAACTAAACTAAACACAAAATAAGGAGCCCTGTGGTGCTGATAGGATAAGTGTTAAGTTGCTAACCAACAGCTTGGTTTATTAAGTCCACCACAGCTCTGTGGGGAAAAGAGGAGGTTGACTGCTCATTCTCAGTACCTTTAACAAGCAGTTCTACCCTGTCTTACAGAGTACTGTGAGTCAGAATGGACTCAATGGCAAGGAATTAAACAAAAATATCTACCCTCTAAGTATTCAATCACTCACTGGATGCTGCAAAAGAGCAGGCATTTGGCTACTCATCAGAAAGTTTGGTGGTAAAAATCTAAAATGTACACTAGGAAAACAGGGTTAAGAGAAGTAATTCAGAACACAGGAATTAGTAAATAATGAGCAAGACTTAACCTGTTATATCTCCTTTATTAGTCTACTTTTAATTACATGTTGTTGTTGTTGTTGTTGTTATGTGCCGTGGAGTCGGAACCGACTCATAGCGACCCTGTGCAGGGTTTCCTAGGGTGTAAATCTTTACGAGAGTAGAAAGCCTCATCTTTCTCCCGCGGAGCAGCTGGTAGTTTCGAACTGCTGACCTTGCGGTTCACAGCCCGAGTCGTAACCACTACGCTACCAGAGCTCCTAATTACATGTAATCATAGATATTAAAGATAAAAATAACAGCTAACATTCAATGAAGGCTTAGTGATACATACACTCATATATAATTTCATTTAACATCTATATAAACTTTCTGCTGTTGTTGAGTTGATGTCGTTTCACAGCAACCCTATACTGCCCCTATAGGACACAGTAGAATGGCCCCATGGGATTTCTTAGACTGTTAATCTTTACTGGAGCAGATCGTCCATCTTTCGACCTGTGGATTTGTTGGTAGGTTAAAACCACTGGCTGTTCAGTTAGTAACTGTGTACTTAGTCATATACTGCCAGGGTTATCTTTCTAACCTCTGAGATAATCATTATTATTTTTTAATATAAAGTTTTTTGCCTATGGCCCGCATCTAAGCAGATGGTAGACCTGGGATCTGAACTCAGCAAGTGTGACTTCACAGTCCATGTTCTTTACCATATAGGCAATTTACAATCTTATATCCTAGTGTGGAGCTACAGGATAAGCACTGGATTGAAAGGTTGGTTTGAACCACAGTTTGGCAGTTCAAACTCACCAGCCACTCCTCAGAAACCCTATACAGGGTTGCTATATATAAATCAGAAATGAGTCGACAGCACTTAAAACAACAACAGCAACTGTATAATAACTGGAGTCCTTGTGTGGTGCTGTAAGATACATACTGGACTGCTAACCACAAGGTTGATAGTTCAAACCCACCAGCTGCTCCTTGGAAACCCTATAGAGAGTCATTTATGAGTTGAACTGACTCGGCAGCACTTAGCAACAACAACAATGACTGTTTAATAGCTACAGGTAAAAACCAACCACATACTTAGTTTCCATAGTGAAATGGAAAGTTTTATGTCTAGCTTATTTTAACAGGCTACAATACAACACAAAGAAAAACTTAAGCATCAAGTGATTAATTTCTATATGCAAAAAACCCAAAATACACATAAGAATATTATTTATATAAATATAGATCTATCGTTATTCCAGAAAGATAGAGAAACAAAACTGATAAAAGTATTAACTGTCTCTCAGGAGCATGATGTTACTTTCTGCAAAAAAGATCAGTATGAACTTTTAAACATTTTCGTGATGCAGAACTATTCTGGCATTCTTTCCAGATAGGAAACATTCACTTTGTTGTTTTAGAGACTGGCCAAAGTCTTATTTTCAAATAAAATAAGGTTTTAGTCTGAAGCTCCTAAATGTGCACAAGTTACTCTTTATCCTTTCAGACAGTGATAAGAATAGAAATTAATTCAAGAGTTTTCAGGGTTAAGCAACTATTTGATTCAGGAGTCTAAGTTTATTACAATAAAAATATTTTATATTTGCATGAGTACATGACTTACCAGAACTAGATTCATAGGAGTTTTATTTTTTGCCTGTTTTACTTCTTTACTTCTATACTTTTACTCACCAGCCCGAACCAACTCAAGTTAACAACTACAACACTTAAAAAGTATGTACCTAGAGCAGGCTACTTAAACTCCTCTATAAAACTCAGTTAATAGTATTATTCACCACAGGTGATTCTGTATATTTAAATGAGTTGTTGTTATTGTTAAGCACCGTGGAGTCGGTTCCGACTCATAGTGACCCTGCACAGGGTTTCCGAGGCTGTAAATCTTTACAGGAGCAGAATGCCTCATCTTTCTCCTGTGAAACCACTGGTAGTTTCGAACTGTTGACCCTTGAGGTTGGCAGCCCAACTCATAACCACTATGCTACCAGAGTTACTATATATAAAGTGCTTAGAACAGTCCCTAAACTGGATAACAGCATACATTTTTTTTTTAATTATCAAATCTGAAAAAGAAACATGTATAAGATTATTCAATGAAAATGCTGGACCATCATCATAATTCATTCTCAATGCTTTGACCATGTTATAGACCCACAATACTAGTTGCCACTGAATCAAATCTGACTCATGGCAACTCCACGAATGTCAGAGAAGAATTGTGCTCCAAAGGAATATTCAGTGGTTCATTTTGGAGGCAGATTGCCAGACATTTCTTCCAATGTACCTCCAGGTAAATTTGAACCATCAACCTTTCAGTTAGAAAGTTGATCCCATTAATCATTAAGCATCCAGGGACTATTTGACCAAGTTAACCAAAATAAATCACACAAAAACACTCATTCATAGAAATTTATTAGTAAAAACAACCAAGCCCCTTTAACCTGGTTCATTTATTACCTGGCTTTGCTTCCTAAGAGTTTGAAATACACTTATCTACTAAATTTCTGAATTTTCATATTTTACGTTTATAAATCCATTATCAATCAAGCTATAAAATTATTTGTCCTGTTGTTTTCTACAAATCACAATGTGCTTCTTATTATTACATTTCACACACAATTTCACTTACATCTACTGCAGACAAGTCAATTACATCCACATTGCAAAGAGTGCAGCCACTGTCCTGTGTCCATGCATTAGGTATGTAGTTTCCTAAATAATTCAGTACAATCTAGAAAATAAAAGAAAATTGGGCTAGCAAAAGAAATTCTCTCTCCTTGATGCAATTTCATTCTATAATCATCTAGCTTCAAAACATGCTTTCTGTATTAGGTACATTCCTTTAATAACTGTGTTTTTATTTATTACTTAGAAATATACACTAACTCCTCTAAAGACCATGAATAATAACTTTTAACTAGAAATTCTAAAAAAAAATACATCAAAAATAATATCCAAGGAATAATATGAAAAGATACACTTTAAGGAAATATGGAAGTCAAACAACAACACAGTTGAAAATGGATGAATGTGTTGTATTAGCAAAAGTTATAAAAATGTAGGTAGTCATGTAAATACTAAATTTTTGTTGTTGTTGTGAAGTGCCCTCGAGTCCGTTCCAACTCATAGTGACCCTTTGTAATGTTTCCAAGGAACAGCTGGTGGGTTTGAACTTCTGACTTTATGGTTCACAGTCTAGTGCTGATCCTATAGTGCCACACAAGGAGTCCAAATGCTAATTTAGTAGTAGGATAATGTTGAAGTCCTAGAGGAGACAGCTACCATGACTGGGTTGGTGACACTGACTTCTTACCAAACATCACCATATACAATACATAGTATCACCAAAAGGTAAAATCTTCTAGTAAACTGTTGTTGTTAAGTGCCGGCTAGTTGGTTCCAACTCATAGCAGCTCTGTATAGGATTTCCGAGGAGCAGCTGGTGTGTTTAACCGATCTTGCATTACAAATTGACCTTGCTGTCAAGTACTTATCCTAAAACAGCCTTCTGGGCAATGGTTCAGGGGCACTGACTTCACTCAGATTTAGAACAAGCTACTAAGGCATAATTATAGTTAATCTCATAAATCCTTCTATCTTCACTAATAAAAAGTAGAATAATGCTTTTCCACTCCCACTGCATCCAGACATCTCAGAGGAACTCCTTTATGACTTATCTCCACTCTCCTTACTCAGGAATTGTTATTCATTTTACCCAAAAATCCTGTGTCCCTGTGTGTACTTTAGGGAGTGGGAAAGAGAGTTGAGTGGGGAGGGTGAGGAGATGGAGGGGGTCGAAGGAAAGAAAACAATACAGGACGGGGATAAACACACTGATTTGGCATATCCATACATTTGGAACATTGTTACAAAAACTCTGCTAATTAAAACAAATTGTCATCATTATTAAGTACCTTTGAGTCAGTTCTGACTCACAGCGATCCTGTAAAGGGTTTTTGAGGAGCAGTTGGTGAGTCAGAACCACCAACTTTGTGGTTCAAAATGACCTTGAGGTCGAGTGCTTATCCTACACCATCACACCAGGACTACCCCATTTACTGCAATTTCAATTCCTAGTACATGTGTGGTGTTTAACTTTAAAACATTTTAATGATCTTACTAATTCTTTTCATACACCACAATTCATTTTTCTCATACAGCCACAAGACAGTAATGTAGTACTAAACTAACATCGTCCCTAATTTCTAATTACTGTTAAAAAGAAGTTCCTAAAACCTTATTATGCATATATAATCATTAATTTCCAATTGGAAAGCAACTAAGAACACGAAAGATAAAAGTAAACTCCGTGCATTAAATATCATAGACAAAAATGTACAGAATAGAAACTGAAATTCTCTATCTTCTTGGAGTCCTAGTATGACACTGCACGATAAACATGGACTACCAGCTACAATTATATGCATGGACCTCACCAGATGGAATACACAGAAATCAAATTGACTACATTTGTGGAAAGAGACGGTGGAAAAGGTCCACATCATCAGTGAAAACAAGGCCAGGGGCTGATTATGGAACAGACCATCAATTGCTTATATGCAAATTCAGACTGAGCTGAAGAAAATGAAAACAAGTCTAAATGAGCCAAAATATGATCTTGAATATATCCTACCTGAATTTAGAGATCATCTGAAGAACAGATTTGATACATTAAACACTAAAGACCGAAGGCCAGAATAGTTATGAGATGACATCAAGAACATCACACATGAAGAAAGCAAAAAGGCATTAAGAAGACAAGAAAGAAGGAAAAGGCCAAAATGGATGTCAGAAGAGACACTGAAAATTGCTCTCCAGTGCAGAGAAGCTAAAGCAAATGGAAAAAAACTGAGGAGGTACAAGAGTTGCACAGAAAATTTCAAAATCTAGCTTAAGAAGACAAAGTAAAATATTACAACAAAATGTACAAATATCTGTGAAGACATAAAATCAAATGGGAAGAACATGCTCAGCATTTCTCAAGCTGGGGGAACTGAAAAAAAAAAAAATTCAAGCCTCAATTATTTCATTATTGAAGGATTCTCTGGGTAAATTAATGAATGATGCAGAAAGCATCAAAAGAAAATGGAAGGAATACAGAGAGTCACTGTACCAAAAGGAAATGGTTGATGTTCAACCATTTCAAGAGGTAGCATATGATCAAGAACCAATGATACTGAAAGAAGAAGTCCAAGTTGTATTGAAGGAATTGGCGCACACACACACAAAAAACAAGACACCAGGAATTGATGGAATAAAAGATGAAATCTTTCAACAAAGTGGAGGCACTGAAGGCACTCACCCATCTATGCCAAGAAATTTGGAAAACAACTATCTGACCAACTGACCAGAAGAGATCCGTATTTGTGCCCATTCCAAAGAAAAGTGACCCAACAGAATGTGGATATCATCTGACAATATCTTTGATATCCCATGTGAGTAAAATTGTACTAAAGGTAATACAGAAATGGTTGCAAGCATACATTGACAGAGAACTTCCAGAGATTTAAGCCAGATTCAGAAGAGGCCATGGAACAAGGTATATCATTGCTGATGTCTGATGGATCTTGGCTGAAAGCAGAGAATACCAGAAAGTTGTTTACCTGTGCTTTGTTGACCACATAAAGGTTTTTGATTATGTGCATCATGACAAGCTATGGACAACATTGTGAAGTATGAGTATTACGGAACATTTAATTCTACTCATGAGTAATCTGTACATGGACCAAGAGGCAGTTGTTCGAACAGAACATGGAAACACTGAATAGTTTAAAATTATGAAAGGAGTGCAACAGGGTTATATCTTTCACCATAATTATTCAACCTGTATGATGAGCAAATAATCCAAGATGCTGGGTTATATGAAGAAAAATGTAGCTTCAAGATTGGAGGAAGATTCATTAACCTGCAATACACAGATGATACAACCTTGCTTGTTGAATGTGAAGATGACTTAAAATACTTACTGATGAAGATCAAAGAGCACAGCCTTCTCTCTATCGATTGCATCTCAATTTAAGAAACACAAAATCTTCACCACTGGACCAATAAACAACATTCTTATCAATGGAGAAAAGATTGAAGTTGTCAAGGACTTGATTCTTCTTGGATCAACTATCAACAATCATGGAAGTCAAGAAATCAAACCATGTATTGCACTAGGCAAATCTGCTGCACAAGAATTTGTTTGTTTGTTTGTTTTTTAAATGTTTTATTATGAATTATGTGATAGTTTACATGGGAAAATATTAGTTTTAAATTCATTCTATCGTATATCGTTTCATTGCCATGGCTACAATCCCCTCCATGCATCATCAACCAACCAAAGGGTATACCCTACAAGCCTGTCCCCAGTCATCAGCACACAGCCCTCTCCCTCTCTGGGTCTAAAGTCCCCAGCTGCTCCATCTCTCCACATCATAGTCTCCACCTCCATCTCTGGCATTGTACAAGACCTTTTTAAAATGTAGAAGAGCAAAGATGTCAACTTGAAGACTAAGGTGCGCCTGACCCAGGCCATGGTATTTTCAATAACCTCATATGTATGTGAAATATGGCCACTGAATAAGGAAGACTGTAGAAGAATTGATGCATTTGAGTTATGGTGTTGGAGGAGAATATTGAAAGTACCATGGACTGCCAAAACAACAAACAGATCTGTTTTGGAAAAAGTGCAGCCAGAGTGCTCCTTGGAGGCCAGGATGGCTAAATTTTGTCTCTCGTACTATGGACATATTGTCTAGAAGTGCCCAGTCTCTGGAGAAGTATATCATGTTTGGTAAGATGGAGGGTCAGAGAAAAAGAGGAAGACCCGCAGAGCGATGGATTGGCAAAGTGGCAGCATCAATGGGCTCAAGCATGGCAACAATAATGAGGTTGGCCCAGGACTGGGCAGTGTGTCGTTCTGTTGTGCATAGGGTTGCTATGAATCGGTACCTAACAACAACAACCAGCTACAAAGTCAGAAGTTCAAACCCACCAGCTACTCCTTGAAAACCTCTATACAGGGTCACTATGAGTCAAAAGCAACTTGACAGCACTTAATAACAACAACTATGCCTCGAAGAGGTACTAGTGTGGTGCTGTAGGATAAACACTGGTCTGCTAACATCAATGTCAGTCAAACTCATCACTTGCTCCTCAGAAGCTATGAGTCAGAATGACTCAATGGCACTTAACTGCAGTAACAACAAAAGCCAGAAAGATATCTTAGCATGTAGAATAGACTAGGTTAATAATATTCCAGTATCATTTTAGCAGATTCTTCCCAAATATCTGAGATCCTCTTCAAATATTTCTATTGTACTGAAACTCTGAACCAAATGCTACACTACTAATTAAAATGGGAAAAATTGTGTTGTACACATATTATGGATGATACTTTTCATTTCATAGGTCAAAAGACATACGCATTCACATTTTTTCTGGACTACAAAGAGCTCTGGTAGTGTAGTGGTTACAAGGTAGACTGCTAAATTCAAGGTCAGCAGTTCAAAACGACCAGCCTTTCCACAGGAAAAAGATGAGGCTTTCTGCTCCAGTAAACATTTATAATCCGAGAAATCCTGTGCAGGGTCACTATTAGTCAGAATCAACTCCATGGCACACCACCACCACCAAGACAAATGAAGCTCAGAGGATGAAATATAAAGTAGAAGATGACTTATACAGAAATCAAATCTAATACATTATTGTGATTTCTCTGATTGCTACTTCCATGAGCATTGTTAGTGGATCCAAGCAAAATGAAGTCTTTAATAACTTCAACCTTTTCTTCATTTAACATGCAGTCAAGGTATTTCCTAGTGACATTTCAAGAATATATGTTTTGCCACCATTAAGAGAAACAATGTGGTCAGTTTAATGTGCCTCTCTAATAAACATAGAAATAAAGTTTTTACAGCTAATTGTCAAAGTAAAGATGACAAATGAAAACAACAATGTAATCACTCTTGTCCTGTGAAATATGATTTTAAAAGGAATCAAATAAAGACATTCATATAAAAATGGATTATCTATTTAGCACTGTTTCTAAAAGGGATAAAAAAAATGGGTATAAAATGCACAGTTCTGTTATTTATTAACCTTTGTTTAAAATACTCTGTAAATTTTTTTAAAAGAAGAACAAAAAAGGTCAAATACTTAAGAGTTCCTACCATATATAAAATTCCCATCTACATACAAAAGCTAGCATTTTTTCCATCTCACAAAAATCTCATAGAAATTAAATATTTATTTAATGAATTATTGATCCGTAGACAATAACTGTATGAATAACAAAATGATCAATATATTTTTTAAAGTTCAGAGTATAAAGCCCAAGACTTTTTGTTTTTAAAATGAAAACTTCGTTGTAATGCTTTAACATTTGGCTTTTTATTTCTATTCAATTTTCACAGTTAATTAAAATATTTTTAAAGCAGTAGTTTTGAATGGAAACCTCCATCTCTTGAATTTCTCACCAGAAACACTAAGTCATCCAGTACTCCCTCTTAGCATCTGTTTTCTTAATACAAACTACAGACATTTATGCTGGCAGCTTTGGAAAGTGCAGAAAACTGTTAATGTAGTTATACAGTTAAATTGTTAGTCTGGGCAGTCCCAGCTTGTAGGTGGTAGTTCTTTTCTGAGCCTCCTTTCACAATATCAAAGGCTTTCCAAATATGATGTCATTTTCATTGGCAGGAAAGTTTTCCAGCCACATTCTTCTATCTTTAATTTAAAAAGCATGTACAACTGTTCAGGGTCGCAATAACACAAGCACTGTGGTTTTTACACATAAGATTAAAGTCCCTATTTTTATTGTACAACAAATTCATCTCAAAAATGGCTTGCTCTTCTGTGCAAAATATAGACTGTATAAAAATATTTAATTTCAGAATTATCTCATAAATATTATCTGATATTGGAAAGAAAATGATGAGCAATAAAATAAACATTTTAGGATTTACTACTTTTAATAAATAATCTACAAAAATAAAAAGCAAAGTTTCAAATAAAAAATCAGTTGTAATCTATAATCTGATTTATTCAATTGTATTAAAATAAGTATGAAAATAATTATGTAGAATAAATGCAGCAACATTTCAAATACAGTGTTAATTTTAAAAAGTCAGTTCCTACTCAGAGTAAAACTAGGACCAACAGAACAAAACACTGCCTAATCCTGTGCAAGTTCCCTATGCTTTATGCTGGAGCACATTGCTACTCCCACTGTGTCAATCCATCTCATTGAGGGTCTTTTGCTGACCTTTCACTTTACCAAGCAAAATATCCTTCTCCATTAGATCCTCCTGAAAATATGCCCAAAGTATGAGAGAGAAAGTCTCATGATACTGGCTTCTAAGGAGCAATTTGGCTGTACTTCTTTCAACACAGACTGGCTTGTTCTTTTGGCAGTCCATGATACTTTTAATATTCTTCTCCAACACCACAATTCAAATGCATCAGTTCTTCTACTGTCTTCCTTATTCACTGTCCAATTTTCACATGCATATGAGGCTACTGAAAAAACCATGACTTGAGGGTACATCTTAGTCCTCAAACTGATATATTTGCTCTTGAACACTTTAAAGAAGTGTTCTATAACATATTTGCCTAATGCAATACATTGCTTGATTTCTTGACAACCACTTCAATGAGGATTGTTTGTGGATCCAAGCAAAATGAAGTCTTTGATAAATTCAATCTTTTCTCCATGTAACGTGATATTATTTATTAGTCCATTTGTGAGGATTTTTGTTTTCTTTAGATTTGAGGTACAACCCATATTGGAGGCTACAGTCTTTGATTTTCATCAGTAAGAATTTAAGTCCTCTTTGCTTTAAGCAAGTTGTATCATCTGCACACAGCAGGTTACTAATGAGTCTTTCTCCAATCCTGATGCCACATTCTTCTTCATATAGTCCAGCTTCTCAGATTTGCTCAACATGCAGATTGAATGGACTTCTGGTGTGGCACTATGGAATATGCACTGGATTGTGAAACACAAGGTCAGCAGTTCAAACTCATCAGTTGTTCCTCAGAAACCCTGAAAAAGGCTGCTATGAGTTGAATTGACTTGAAGGCACTTAACAACAATGGCAATTCTCCAAATTAAATGTAACCTATGATCTCTTTTGATTTGATACAAGCAGTACAGATTTGTTATCTATAACTTTTGCAATCAGGAAAATTTTGAGAAAGCTCAAATAAATATATCTGAACCCCAAAAGCATTCAAAATCAAACAGATTATACAATTATGTTCTTTTCAACTTTAATTCATCAAACTTGGCACTTAATAAGGGCATGAAGAAGCTTTCTGCTCATTTAGTTATAGCCCAAACTTCACAGTGTTATTGACTTAGAAAATGGTGACTGATCAACCACAGGATCCCTTAATGCCCCAAATAATTCCTGTCCAGCAGGATATCTTGTGTGAGAAAATATGACTTACTCTCAATTATTTTTTACTAAATAAAACAGTAAAGTGAAATTTGTTACAGATAGGATGAAAAGTTATCAGTAAGGTTGAGAAAAAATCATCAGTTCAATGAATTTGAATGAAACCAGAAAATATTGTTTGACAGATGAAGTCACAAAATTGTTGGCACCAGAATAAAGCCTCTTACAGAAATTTTAAAAAACAAAACATATTCCACATATTGATACACAGTCTGCCTCCAAATAAGAGGAAGCCAAGTTAAAAGTCACACTTACTCACCTTGGTGGGTCCGTTTCCATTAATTGCCACGGGTAATGTTTCATAAAAACTATTCTTAGCTCTGGCTTTTCCATTTTCAAATTTTAAAACAACTTCATCTGGGTTTAAAAAAAAGAAAATGGGTTTCAGGAATTTAAAACTGGGTGTGTGCATGAATATTTTTGTATACAAATCTATATATCTCTATAACAAGGGGGCTTCAAAAAATTTGTGAAAAAAATCCATTATCTTTCATCTCCATTTTTCCATGAGCTTTTAGAAGCCACCTTATATTTATCTCTCTGTGTGTGTTTGTCATTGTATAGTTTATCATGCAAACAATATTCTCTGGGCTACAGAACACTTTTCAAAACTATCCCTCCTGGAAGTCAGCAGATACCCATGTATAAAATAAAGGGCAGCGCATCTCATTCCCTCCAGTCTGGCACCTCAAACTGACTGAAGGACTCAGCTACCGTAGTAGCTTATGGATAAAATCATCTTTGCAATCCTGCTTCCACCTCTTTATTATGTAATCCTGTGCTATGTAGGATAAACACTGGACTGTTAACCACAAGGTTGATGGTTCGAGCCCACCAGCTGATCCCTGGGAGAAAGATGAGGCTTTCTATTCCATAAAGATTTACAGCCTTGGAAACCCTAAACAGAGTCACTGAGTCAGAACTGACTTGATGGCAGTAACAAAAACTCTAACTATTAGTTGCTATAAAGTCGATTTTCATGCATTGTGACCTATCTGTCACAGAACTATAGGGCTTTAAAAATGGATTTTTCAGAAGAATACCAGATCTTTTCTCCCAATTGCCTCCGGGTAGACTCAAACTTCTAACCTTTTGGTTCGCAGCTACATGTGTTAATCATTTAAACCACTCAGAAACTCTTAGATGATTCTAAAACCAAAAACCACTGCCAGTTAGGCAGATTGCGACTCATACCCCTATAGAACAGAGTAGAAATGCTCCAAAATATTTTCAAGGCTGTAAATCTTTATGGAAGCAGGCTGCCTCATCTTTCTCCCTCAGTGGGTTTAAACCACTGACCTTTCGGATAGAAGCTGAGAGCTTAACCACTGAGCCACGAAGGCTTTTAATGTGATCATAGTGGTAGTGTTGGTTGTATGCTGTTGAGTCACTTGATTCCTGTTGTTGTTGTCAAGTGCTGTTGAGTCAGTTCCGACCCATAGCAAGCCTGTATAGGGTTTCCAAGGAGCAGCTGGTGAGCTTGAACTTTGTGGTTCAAACCGACTGTGCAGTCTAGCACATTAACCCATAGCACCACACCAGAACTCCAGTTGACTAAATGCTGTTGCTGCTGCTGTTATGTGCCGTGGAGTCGGTTCCAACTCAAAGTGACCATGTACAGGGTTTCCGAGGCTGTAAATCCTTACAGGAGCAGAAAGCCTCATCTTTCTCCCACGGAACAGCTGGTAGTTTTGAACTGCTCACCTTGTGGTTCGCAGCCCGGTTTGTAACCTCTAAGCTACATGAGTTCTGGTATGGCATTGTGAGTTAATGTACCAGACTGCAAAGCTGTTTGAACTGCAAGGTCGGCGGTTCAAGCTCACCAGTCACTCCTTGGAAACCCTATGCAGGGTTGCTATGGGTCAGAACCAACTCAATTACACTTAACAACAATAACATACAATTACCTAGACTGTAAATCTTTCCAGGAGCAGAAAGTCTCATTTTTCTCCTTTGGAGCAACTGGTGGATTCGAACTGCTGACATTGTAGTTAGCAGTCCTATGTGTAACTCACTATGCCACAAGACAAATTAAATTTGGACTCAATTTGTCCATCTGCAAAAGGGATTCCATGCCTACTTTACAGGTTTACTATGCAGAGTCGCTATGAGTCGGAACTGACTCCATGGCACATAATCAACAAATTAAGATAATAGAAATAATATGTATTATGAATAAAACACTGTACATCCTGATGAGATGTATAGTACAAACACTGCACTGCTAACTACAGCGTCAACAGTTCAAACCCACCAGCCTCTCTCTTAGAAACTCTATATGGGATAACTATAAGTCAGTACTGAGTTGGAACCTACTCCTCAGCATACCATAACAACCCGTCATATGCAAGCTTTCTACTATTGACCACAATTGATAGTATTTCTAGTAATTGAAAGACAGGCCTATGGCAATATTTAAGGAGTATCCAAGGTAAAGTGGAGAAGACGTAGTCCTTTGTTTCTGATCCTTTCCTCAAATTTCTTGAGCACTGCAGACCAAATGCATTACATTCTGAGAATCTTTTCACTGAACTGAAGCAATTTGAGGAAATGCATTCAGTTGTAATATATTTTAAATTTCTTAGTTCTGATGCTGTAAGATAAGCACTGGAATGCTAATTGTTAAGACTGTCAGTTCAAACCTATCTGTCATTCCTCAGAAACCCTATATAGGGTCACTGTGAGTCTGAACTGACTAGTCAGCACTTACCAAAAACAATATCTAATTATAAGGATTCCTGATGGCACTGTCAAATAAGCATTTGCCTGCAATTGACAAAGTCACAGGTTCAAATCCACCTTTAAACTTAATGGGAGAAAGATGAGGCTTTCTGCTTCCATAGAGATTACAGCCTCAGAAACCCTATTGAGCACCACTGAGTTGAAATTGACTCTCAGTGGCAGTGAGTGAGTGAGTAATAATGAATTGTTGTTAAGTGCCATCACGTTAGTTCTGACTCACAGTCCCTCTGTGTAGGGCTTCTTAGGAATGGGTGGTGAGTTTGAACCACAACCTCAAGCTAGTAGTCCAGTGCTTATCCTATAACACCACACCAGGACTTGATAATGAATAAATATATTTTAATTTTCAATTTATTGATTGATTTGCTTCAGTATAATTATAAAAATGTATATCTAGGAACACACACACACACATGCATGCACACATATGAGGAGGGCTTCAAAACGTTCATGGACAAATGGAGTAGAAAAATAGTGGAATTTTTCCACAAAGTTTTTCAAGCTCCTTTGTATACTCAGTCACCCACGCTCCTACTGTATGTGTACCTAGTTGTCAGCCATTGTATTTTAGCAGTCCAACACTCCTGAGTAAATCATAATATAAAGAACTTACATTGGAAAATGTATACTACTGAAGGGAAGTAAAAAAAATTTGTTACACATTCATAGAAACTTCTGTTTAAAACAATATCAAAATGTGTGAGTACTATTTCTCAACATATCCTCCATCTAGCCTTGGTGGCACCGTAGGTTAAGAGCTGGGCTGCTAACCTCACGGTCAATGGTCCAAACTCACCAGGTGCTCCACAGGAGAACGACAAGGCTGTCCGCTCCTATAAATATTTATAGTCTCAGAATCCCTAAGGGGCAGGTCTAGTCTGTCAGAGTTGCTATGAGATGGAATAAACCCCATGCCAGTGGGGCAGTGGAGAGGTCTGTACATTTACGAAGGCAGTGTTCCCATTTCTTTAACCTTTCCCCAAAGAATCCTGAGCCTGTCATTTAATACTATGTCAAAACAACAATTTTGGCATCCCTGAGGATCTCAAATTCTGTTCCATTTAAATGTTCTTTGAGTTTGAGAGACAAAAAGAAGCCTGAAGAGGCAAGATTAGCACTGTAGGGTGAATGGGGTAAGGTTTCCCAACAAAATTCTTGGAGGACAGCCATTACAACCCTTGAAAAAATGAAGTGCATTGTCATAATAGAAAAAAAGAACACAAAAACAGTTCTTAGCACAACTTCCTGGCTTTTTCTCACAAATTCAGTTTTCAATCATCTTTTAAAATCTCCGTAAGTCTCCTATGATCTTCCTGCATCTCTTGAGAAAATCTGTCTCCATTACCCCATCAGGATCCCAAAAAGCAGTCACCATAATAACATCTGAGCTGAATTTCACTGGCCCAGCAGAGTCCCTCAGAAGTCTCTGGTTTATTGTTGTTTTGTTTTTGTTGTTTAACTTTTTAGTATGCTATGGGAGGTTAACAGACAAATCATCAGTTGTACATGAAACAATTTTTAGACATTTTGTTTCATCTCATTGATTGCATCCCCTCATTGCAATATTGCTTATTCCACACTTCTTACAATTCCTTCAATTCTTCCTTCTTTCCTAATCCTCTGAACTTTGTCCTTGAGAAAATGCTGCCCATTCGATCTCAAATGGGTGATTACTCTAAGGTGTGCATATCTCAGTAGTGTTATGATTAGACCCTTATTTGAAGGCACCCAATAGAACTAAAAGGAGTTCTGGTAGCGCAGTGGTTACGAATCAGGCTGCTAACCTCAAGGTCGAAACTACCAGCTGTTCCGCTGGACAAAGATGAGGCTTTCTGCTCCCATAAAGATTTGCAGCCTCAGAAACCCTGTGCAGAGTCACTATGAGTCAGAGTCAACTCCACGGTACTTAACAAAAACAACAGAACTAAGACAAGTATATTACTAAGAGAACATGTCGAAGACACATGGTTAAACATGTATCATGGAATAAACCCATGTATGTATGAATGGGAATCCTAGTAGCAATGTTTTTTTTTATTTGCCTTCATATTCAGAATACTTCTATAGTTGCCAAGTGGTGAGCCACTAAATTCTAATTTACCTAAAGCCGAAGAACTGCCCTTTTTTTGTCCTGGACATGGAAAATGATTTAAACAGAAAGTATTAAACTGCTGGGGACAGCATACACAGACCCTGGGTTGATCAGTGGCAGCCCCATTAAACCACCTCTGAATATAATCAGTTTAACCCAGATGCTCTCCTTCCTCCTGAAAAGTATATAGGAATATGATAATTAAGAACAATGTAGCATTTTAGGTATAGATAAATGAAGCCCGGTGCCTGAGATCTTGCTCACAAACAAAAGTTTGCAAAGTGTACAGAGACAGCTTGGCTCCTTTCAGGAACCTTGTTTTATGTTAAGTATCCTTAAGAAACCGCACGTTACTGCTCTAGATCATTTAAGCCTAAAAATTAATATATGACAGCTTGATTGAACCTTTTTTCTGTAAAAATAAAAATGTTAGATTGTTAAGAAAAACTACGAAAATATCTTAAAAGTTGTTCCTGTGAATCATTATGTCCTGTTTTGAATGATTAATCCCATTTCAGTTCCGTATCCTGTCTTAATCACATCCTCCCTTTGTGAATTATATCCTTCCTTTGTAACAAATCCCTCCCTAAAAAAGAGAATAAAAGGCTGAGGTAGCGTGAATTCTGCATGCAATGCTGGGCAATGCTAGGCAATATGTTTGCAGATCTGTCTACCTGCCAGCTTGCATCAGATCTATGTGTCTGTCTTTTTTGTATATATTTCGTCTCTCTCTTTCTCTATCCCTTTCGCCGCCAGATCTCCCTTCTTTGTGACACTCACACTTCCTTGTCGAGGCTGGAACCCGACATAGGACCTCGACATTAAACTATCAAACTAAGCCTACAGCCAAATAACTTCAAAGGTGGCAATATCTACACTGTAAACTTTATAAAGTTTAGGAGTCCTGGTATGGCACTGTGGGTTAATGCGCTGGATAGCAAAGCCAGTTTGAACTGCAAGGTCAGTGGTTCAAGCTCACCAGCCACTCCTTGGAATCCGTACACAGGGTTGCTATGGGTTGGAGCCAACTCGAAAGCACTTAACAACAACAACAACAAACTTAAAATAGTCTAAAAATGGATATAAAAATGGGGAAACAGTTGTAAACACAGCATTCATTTGTATATGTAGTAACACATTATTCTGGAAACATACCTACAGCTCCATTTAAGGTCTGGAAAATTTTGCATTTGTGATCCAATGTGATGTTAATAGCTTCCTAAAAAACAAGAATATAGATAATATTGAAAACTAGTTCCAGAAATATTCTTCATGAAGAATAATTCTATAATTGGTTAAAGTGGAATGTACAAGGCATGAATATCATCCATCATGTTCTCCAATTATTTTCCCCTCTTCACCTTGTGGTTAGTTGTGACACGTGAGTTGTTAGCAGAAATGAGATTTGTTACTTCTCTCCTAAAGTATTTTGATGCCAGGGGGAGAGCGTAAGTGTGCTCTTTCCCACTGGCACAGCAACAAGTAAAGTTTGAGATGGATGGTCTATCAGCCACAACACAAAGCAGAAATCCCCTGTTGGACATGGAGCCAAAGGCAATCTCTGTTGTGTTAAATTGTTTAGACTGGGGTGTCTTACTGCACAATAATCTGTCTATCCTGACTGACACCACTGGTTAGTGATTAATCAATCTCATCATAAAAATTAATCAGCTTTACAAATACCATCATTTTCAATGTATAGCTTTGCCATAATGCCATTTGTTGTCAGCTACCATAGAGTCAGCCCTAACTCATGGAAACCAGACCGCATGCATTATGGGATCAGACACTGTAACTCATCGGGTTATCATCAGCTGATTGGCAACCTTAATTTCTAGTCTGTCTTTGTCTGCAAACTATGCTGAAGCACAGCATCACACGCACCTCCACTGACAGAAGGGTGATGGCTACATGTGAAGTGCACTGTCTGAGAATCAAACCCTTGCTTTCCCACATGGAAGGCAAGGATTCTACCACTGAGCCAACACAGGTCCTCCCTTGCCATAATATAATTATTGGTGTTGTCATTGTTAAGTGCCTTCAAGTTGGTTCTGACTCACAGTGACCCTGTCTAGGGTTTCCAAGGAGTAGTTGGTGGGTTTGAACCTTCAAATTTGTGGTTAACAGTCCTACAGTGTCACACCAGGTCTTCATAATAATATTCTCATTGCTTTTGTACGTCGATCAGAAAGAAACTTAAACAAGATTGATACCAATTCTTCAAAGAATGAACCCCAAAGCAAAGACAAATCTGATTCAGAGTTCTCTTATAGATGAAACACACTAACATATGACAAACATCATGTTGCATAGACTAGTACTCATGCCAAGAGCAGGTTTCTCCTCCCTGATGAAAGATCAAGTCCTCAGGCTTGCTGTGTGAAGCATGCAAGTGGTAAAGCAAAACACAGAGAGGAAGAAAAATAAACATTTTAAGAATGAAATGTCTTAAGTGTTAAGTGTATAATGAAAATATTTAGATGACAGAGAATTTTTCTGAAATACAGAAACAGCTATAGTTTCAGACTCATTACAATACGTACTTATTTTTAAAAAGCCTCGTATAGTTTCTAAAAAACAGTACCCACAAATATATCATTCAGTAAATTTTAGAAATGCATCCATTGTATAAACACTGTACATCTATGGAATATTAACTTATGTTAGGCAATATACTAAAAATAGTCATGAATGAAAAGGCTTTGCTTTATTTTCTCCAAAGTTTTATTAACAAATGAATCTCAGGAATGTTCCCTCTAGGGTCTATGGCAGACAACTGCTATCCCGAACATTCCCTGCTTTGGAAGCAGAACTTAAGAGTTTTAGTAGGCCATATAAAAATAAAGGACAAAATTGCCTTTGCATATTTTGTGTGGCCACACAATTAAGTTCTGTTCAAAGATAAATATGAGAAAGTGTTGGGTGAGACATCTAGAAACATTTCCTCAACTGAAATGGCCTCTTATTTAGTACTTTGTCTTTTAGCTACTTCGAATATGGATGTAATGGCTGGAACTCCAGCAGTGATTTTGAAGTTGCATTGAAAATGGGAACTATGGGTTAAAGGAACAACAGGAAAGACCTGTCCCTCTTTATATCATAAAGCCACCATAACATGCATGTGCTCCCTCTTCCACATTTTTTTTTTATGTGATAGAAGAAAAAATAAATGAGTGCATAAATAAAACTGTCTTATGTAAGTCAGTGTTATTCTAAGTTGTTCCATTTGCAGTATTATTTATAAAAGACATAAGGCTCTATCTACACCATAGCCTAACAGACTGTCAAAGCCTAACCTTTTTGTTGTTGTTGCATGCCATGGAGTCAATTCTGACTCACAGCAATCCTATATTGCAGAGCAGAACTTTTAAAAATATGTTTTTGACAAGCACACTTTCCAAATCACTTTTTCCATTGCCGTACTATCAATAATGCCCTTTGCTTCTGAGCATTGCACATTAACAAATCAGAACAAAGCAACCAAAACAATAAAACAAAAAGAAAAGGCAGGTCATTACTCACTCTCTTTAGTGGATCAATATAAATTTTTGTGTAAAAGAGCTGATCATCATCATTATCTTGGAGATTCCACTGTTGAACTATACGGTTAACAGATGGAGCATAGCCAATAAATCCTGCAACATGGCAGAGAGAGTATAGAATGTATTATTCAAAGGCCAAAACTCATATCTACTTGAATTCCATTGACCAGTTGCACAGATCAGTGATACGATGAGGGCTAATCCTTATGTTGTAGCTTCACAGACTACCATGAGAAATAACAGTTAAATCTGTAAGGAGGAAACCTGTCAGAGAAGGAAAACTCAAATCTTTCCACTAAAATGAGAGGCAGAAAAGTAGTAAGAGTGTGCCCTGTCAAGGACAGAAAACTTGGGCAACTAGGAAAAATAAAGCAGTGTCATCAAGTTCTGGCTCTCACAGGTTCACTGTATACACTGTTATCTTCTATACTATCGTACAGTGCCATACCAGGACTTCTTAATAATATACTCATTGCTTTTCCACGTTGATCAGAGAGAAACTTACACAAGGTATAATGGAGTGGGTTTTACTACAAATTATAAGGAAGAAAATAATTTTTTGAACACACAAAATCCCAAAATTAACTGGAACAAAGTAGTTTTGTCCATGTTTCCTAAGGAAAAGAGTTGCTAGGAAAACAACAGAGTAAGACAGAAAAAATTTTCTCTTGCCCTTCTTCAATGTTCTTTTTGGATCTGAAAAAGAAAGTCTCTGCTACAGTGGTTTTCCTGTCAATTCCAGAGATGCTAACACAATCAAAGAAATGTTGGATTTGTCACTAACTACAAATATCTCAAAGGCATTTTATACCTCAGACATTTCAGAGTTCTTTCCTTACTTGAGCTAGTCATTATTATGCCTGCTAAGCCATTCTCTGGCTAGGTTTTGTGTGTCACAGCCTTAAGAATGAAAATCTAAAATTGGATTGTTCCCTTTTGGCCTGAAAGCATAAGCATGCAATCTGCAATAACATTTGTCTACAAAAGACATAGACAACAGGATATTTTTCCTGTTTTCAGTCATCCTCTGTATTCCAGAAATGCCAAATTGCTATGTTTCATTGACACACAATACTTTTCAAAAGGAACCAACGTTCCTCTTGTGAATTGAAAGGAAACCTACTTTTTTTTTAACCCACAGTGTTAAAATTTCCTTGTAGGAATAAGAGAATTAATTAAAGTAAATAGGTCAAGCAATATTCTTGTTATCTTGAAAAAACAAGACAAAATAAAAAAACATGATAAAAATCAATCACTCGCTGTTCATTACTTTTGTTATTCTTGCTAAATGGAAAAATCCTAAAACCCTGTGAAATAATACAGTTTTTTAAAATTTCTGTGACCAATCTTTTGTGGTGGAAAATATATATAAACAAACATTTTCAAAAATACATATGACACATAACATTTTCCAATGGTTTACATTACTGATTATTTAAAATATATATTTATTGATCCGTCTCATAAATCCAAAACATCTTCAAATAAATGAAAAAGAAATCCCATCCATTTTCATAGCATATATGCTTCAAATCATATATATTTATGTATTAAAATGCCATATTGTCTCAGGCCAATAATGTTTCTAATGTTCTAAGTTTTCTTTGTAAGAAAAAAGGTTGTGTTTTTTTTTAATTAAAAAATACTCTCATATGTGCCATGGTGGCATAATATTGTAAAAGTAATTAATACAATTGAATTTTACAATTATAAATGGTTTAAATGAAAATTTTATGTTAGTTATATTTTATAACAATATAATAACAATTAAAAATAGATAACACCCACAATAATGACATATCATTTGAAGAACTATCACTGCATCATCCATGAAATCACATAAGCCTTTATTAAACATATTGTGATTTCTCTATTTATGCTACAGAGATCAAAAGGAAATTCAGTGATGGCCTTGTTAGATAACTTTCCCATTTTTTAAATAAAATCTTGCTAATCAAAGTGGTTCACACAAGCACTTGCTTGCTGGTTTTCTGTTATTTTCACAGTATTGTGACTCTGTCTGAAATTTAGACACCTGCGTGAATAAATTACTATCCAGACATATCTATAGATGAGATCTCAACATACATATCAAATCTTAGAAAAATTTTATAAGCATAAAATGAAACATCCAGCAGTCTAAAGTTAAATACTTCCTGTTTGTTAAAACAAAACAAAACAAAACAAAAAAGGTCTTAAATTTTCTGATTCAGAACAAGTTAAAAGATTGTTGTTGTTGTTGTTGTGAAGTGCTGTCGAGTCAGTTCTGACCCATAGCAAGCCTGTATAGGGTTTCCTGGAAACAGCTGGTGAGCTTGAACTGCCGACCTTGAAGTTCAAAAGGCTTTGCAGTCTGGCGCATTAACCCACAGCACCACACCAGGACTCCAATTAAAAGATTAGCTATGTGTTATTGAGTGCCTAGAGACAATGTGTGGCATTGTAGGATAAGCGCTGGACTGCTAACTGAAAGACCAGTTGTTTAAACCGACCAGCTGCTACTCAGAAACCCTATCTAGAGTCGCTGTGAGTTGGAACTGACTCCACAACACTTAACAACAACAACAACAGAGGCTATCGAGTGGAAGCAGTACATGCGGAGGACTCAAGATGGTAAGTCTGAGTGGGCGCCATCTGTGGGAGAAGTGTGAACAGCAAGAGAGCCAGAAATCCAACTTGAACAAACTGCTGAGGCAATGAGGACCAAGTGTTCAGCATGATAAACCCTAGGTTCTCACTCAAAAATGTAAGTAATATCCAAAGGTGGTATGTACACACACACACACTGCCAACTGCCAATGTCGAACCACAGTGACCCAACAGGAAAGAGTGGAATTGTTCCACGGGTTTCGGAAACTCTGAATACTTAAGGCAGCCTCACACAGAATGGGTAAAAATAAAGTGGCCAAGGGATCCTAAAAGGAATGGAGAGAAAAGGTAAGCTGAAAGTAGACAATGCATACTGGAGTTTAGAGTTTCAAAATATTTATGATGTGAATACCACTGTAGTATAAGCACTGGACTGCTAAGTATAAGCTCAGTGGTTCACATCCACCAGCAGGTTCTCAGAAACCCTACACAGGGTCACTATGAGTTGGAACTGACTGGACAAAACAACAACAATAAAATCCTAACTGAGAGAAACAAGAAAAAGTTGACTGTGTTTAAGTGATTCCAATTCATGGTGACCCCACATGTATATGAGAACTGTGCTCTATAGGGATTTCAAATGGCTAAATCTGGGGAGTATATCACTAGGCCATTCTTTCTCTCCCCAGGTACCTCTGTATGGATTTGAACCACTGTTCTTTGCTTTGCAGTGTATCACATTAACCATTTTGTACCTTCCATGGTTCCTGTTCAGGAAAATAACATAAATTCTGGCAGCATTGGTTTCTTTCTTCACTTATAATGTGGAAATAATAATAATGCGTTGTTAGGAGCATCAAATGGCATAATATATGACAAAATGGATTGTCAACTATAAAATGCCCTCTGGATACTATTCATCCACAGTAATAATAATAATAACAGCAAAGTTGTTGATTCAAACCCACCAGCCATCCTTAGAAACCCTGCACAGGGTTGCTATGAGTCAGCATTGTCTCGACAGTACGTAACAAAAGCACCAATAATAACTTAAAGGTTATTTAATACCTCACATCTACAGGTGCCACAGCAACCAAAAACAAAAGAAAAGGAAGAAAAGAAAGGCTGTTTTATCAATATTGATAATTTACTATGACTTATGTTGCACTTTTTCTGCCAGTTTCTTACCCACCTCCTGAATTCAGGTAGCGTTTCCCAATGTGCACAATGGGATACTTGTCTGCTATTCTTTTATCTGGCCATAGAATTCCATCAGCTGCAAAGACAACTTTGTGGTTTAACTTCTGGAATTTCTTTAAAACTTCTTCTGGACCACCAGCAAATATGACATCAAAGCTGTTAAGAGGGGGAAAAGGGAAGTTTTAAAATACTCATTGGAATTCAGGTATTTAAATCAAGTAAAGAAAAGGTCTCTAATAAGAGTCAGAGTTTAGAATTTGACATAGAATTACAACTAATCTTAGCCAAAAGGATGAGATGTGCTCCAACAAATGATTAATGCAAATAATCATTAATGCAAATAACCAAATAAGGTTTCCACAACTTAAGATACAAGGATTTCAGTAAATTATCAGTATTTGTATTACCTTGGTCAATAAAGTCCAATGAAATTACAGATTTTTAGTGGTAGTCTTAATAATTTTTCTGAAGTCACTTATTACCCAAATCAAAATTTTAAAACAGTGTTAAAATGCTAAAACGTCAGTTACTTACTATATAACAAAGTAATGTAGCCATAGTAAGTGACAAAAGCTGCCATTGTAACTGCCCAATGTTTCAAGTCAATTTGCATCTAACATAATTTCTGAAGAAGTCATTATCTTTGACAAAATGTGTTCAACTACTAAATGTGTTCAATATATTTTAAATCTGTGAACCATTACTCTGAAATCCCAAAGTAAATGTGCTCAGACAAGCACATCTTTATAATAGAATATATTTGAAAAAACTTATAAAAATTGACACTATAATGCAATGTCTACCATTTCATTATTCCTTTCTGGAGATTTTGTTCCTCATGGTGCATTCATAGAATCATAATGATTGAACCAACTATGAAGTGTAACAGCCACTACCTAACATATTTCCAACCTTTACTAAGTTCCTTATTCATTGTAAGAAGCCCTGATCATGCAATGATTAAGCGCTCAGCTACCAACCGAAAGTTTGGAGGCTTGAAGCCACCAGCAATGCCATGGGAGAAAAGCCTCATAATCTGCTTCTGTCAAAATCACAACCTAGAAAACCCTATGGGGCAGTTGTGCAGTCATACAGATTCTCAATGAGTTGAAAATCCATTGGACAGCACCAAAAAATAACAATATTCATTATAACCAGAAATTATTTTGCATGTTTTGCACATCAGTGCAATTCAAGGTCTGAGTTTTCCAAAGATGACAGTTTAGTGGCTTAATATCCCAGGGTGGCAAACTGATGCTTTCAAGAGCATCAATATTCCACCAGATCTTCCAGCATCTGCCAAGAGTCCAGATGTTCTGTTGAGCTGTCTGACCTCGGGAGTACAGAGGCTGTGCTACACACCTTGCTCTGAGGCCTACCTCTCAAGGAACTTGTTACTGTGCTAGTAAGGTCTCAGGCAAGATTCAGTAACATTTTACACATGAATTATTTCATCAAAAGAATATACTAGTTCTCATTTGGGGTTAAGCCTTGGATTGCTAATCACAGGTTGGAAATTACCAGCCACTCCATGGGAGAAAGGTGAGGCAGTTTGCTCTCATATACTCTTAGAATCTTGCTCTCTTATAATCTGTTATATTTCTAATCCTTAAAATGAAGCTTTTAAATACATCTTTTTTAAGCTTCTTATTATGATTGGGTGAAAATGTACAGAGCAAATTAGTTTTCCTTTTAACAGTATGTACACATCATGAGTCATAGCATTGACTGCACTTCCCAGACTGTAACGGCACTTGGCCTACATTCTGTGTGTATCATTTCCATTTGTACTTCTTTCCTGTCCACTCCATCCTTTCTATCCCAGGACAATGCTGCCCTTAGATCTCATATATTTGATGACTGAAAAGAGTGTGTGCCTTCCTGGTGTTAATTGTTCACCTTATAGGCCTGTCTAGGAGCACGGTGGCTCCATCTGATAAGCGCTGTACTTCAAATCACAAGGCCTTCAGTTTGAGCCCATCAACCACTCCAAAGGATAAAGATGTGGGTTTCTGCTCCCTCAAATATTTAAATCCCCAGAAACCCCAGCCAAGGTCATTATGAACTGACTCGACAGCACTGAACAATAAATAGGCCTGTCTATTGTTTACTTGAAAAGTCAGTTTCACTGACAAGGTCAGCAGTTCAAGCTTACCAGCTGCTCTTTGGTAACCCTATACAGGGTCACTACAGGTTGGAACTGACGCAACAACACTTAACAACAACATTGTTTGCCTGGTGTAGCACTGTGGGTCAATGTGCGTGACAGAAAAGTCAGTTTGAGTAGGCAGTTCAAACTTATGAGTCACTCCTCAGAAACCCTATACAGGGTCACTATGGGTCAGAACCGACTCAATGGCACTGAATAAAAACAACATAGTTTGTCTGTAAGTTGAATCACGAGGGTAAAGAAAAAAATTTATTAAGTGGAGACTTGTTGCTGTTGTTGTCAGGTGCCAACTCATAGCGACCCCATGCACAGCAGAACAAAACAATGTCCGGTCCTGGGCCAACCTCACTACCGCTGCCACACTTGACGCCATCAATGATGCCACTTAGCCGATCCATCTCATTGGGGGTCTTCCTCTTTTTCTCTGAGCCTCCATCTTACCCAGCATGACATCCTTCTCCAGCGACTGTTCCCTCCTGACAATATGTCCAAAGTATCAGAGATGAAGCTTAGCCATCCTGGCCTCCAAGGAGCACTCTGGCTGCACTTCTTCCAAAACAGATCTGTTGGTTCTTTTGGCAGTCCATGACACTTTTAGTATTCTCCTCCAACACCACAACTCAAAGGCATCAATTCTCCTATGGTCTTCCTTATTCACTGTCCAGCTGTTGCATCCATATGAGGTTATTGAAAATACTATGGCTTGGGTCAGGAGCACCTTATCCTCAAGCTGACATCTCTGCTCTTCAACACTTTAAAAAGTTCCTGTGCAGCAGATTTGCCTAATGCTATACATTGTCTGATCTCTTGACTACTGCTTCCACGAGTGTTGATAGTTGATCCAAGAAGAATGAAGTCCTTGACAACTTCAATCTTTCCTCCATTGATAAGAATGTTGCTTATTGGTCCAGTGGTGAGGATTTTTGTTTTCCTGACATTGAGATACAACCCATACCGAAGGCTGTGCTCTTTGATCTTCATCAGTAAATGTTTCAAGTCCTTTTTATTTTCGGCAAGCAAGGTTGTATCATCTGCATATCGCAGACTGTTAATGAGTCTTCCTCTAATCCTGACGCCACAATTTTCTGCATAGAACCCAGCTTCTCGTATTATTTGCTCAGCATACAGGTTGAATAAGTATGGTGAAAGAATACAACCCTGTCTCACACCTTTCCCAATTTTAAAACATTCAGTGCTCCCATGCTCTGTTTGAACAACTGCTTCTTGGTCCAGGTACAGATTTCTCAGAAGTACAATGAAGAGTTCTGGAGGCTTGGGCCACACTAAATCAGACATTTTGCAGGTAGCATCAAATATCCAAGTTATAAATGCAGATATGGAAAGAGGATGTTTTCCTGTTTTGAATCCCTACAGAATGGCACACTATATATGCAGTACATCTCAAACTATTAACCAAATCAATAGTTTGAAACAGACGAATTGGGGCAAGTTTTAATTTTATAATTTATTGTTTTATAAACAAACTTTACCTTTGTAGCAAAAAAAAAAGCAATTATTTTAAGGAAAAATATCTTCACATAATTCAATTAAGAATTTAAATTTAAATGAATATTTAAGGTTCCTGAAACTTTTCTCATTTAGGCCAGTGGCTCCTTTATTTCTTTGTTTAAGCATTTCAGAGAAGTTATTTGAAGAGCTTTACAGTTTCTCAAAGGGCAAGAAAGCTTTTCCACTCAAAGTTATTTTGGCCACACAAACTCAGTTTAATTTTAAAAAAATAAAAGCACAAAGGTCATAAAAATATTTCTTGCAGGAAACCAACCCATTTAAATAGCACAATAAAATAAAAGTTTCCACATTGAACCCTAGAGAATATTTTTGGATCCTGCAAAAACCATAAGGTTCCACCATTATGTGGTCACATTCAGTTCTCCCCCAGATATACCAGTGTTGTATCTCCAACAGGTCATTAAGAGTTTTATAAGTGTTTATCCTCTTTGTTCCCTCTTTCTATGGTACAATCAACCCCAACTCAAAATCTTTAATTCAGCTTTGATATCTCCCTTGTCATGGTCTTTTTTATGACTTTTTTTTTGCCAAATGCTATTGATTACATCTTCTTAATTTGCTTTGCAGAGTCCCTAGATGGCACAAACCATTAAGCACACATCACCTAGTCAATATGTCAGCGGTCTAAACATATCCAGGAGGTGCCTTGGAAGACAGACCTGGTGATTTGCTTCTTAAAAGTCACAGCATCCAAAATGCTATGGAACATAGGGAGTTAACATGAGTAAGAATTGATTCAGCGGCAACTAAGACCAACAACAATCTGTTTTGGCATCAGAAGGACTTGACCTCGATTAATTGAATAACCCTAGAGATGTCCCCATTATCCATCACCTCCCTAATTCTAATTAGGATTCTAATAAACTCTCCTGAAAATCACTCTTTGTGAAGCTCTGAACTAGATCAGTGGTTCTCAACTACAGTCTATAGCAGGAGTTGGCAAATACTACCTAGGCCTTTAAACATTTTAGGTTTTAAAAGTCATACAGTCTCTGTCATAATGATTAATTCTGCCACTGTAGTGAAAAAGCAGTAGTCTTCGAAAATCTGTAAACAAATGAGAATAGCTATGTTTAGTGAGCATAAGTTTTAAAGTATTCACAAAGCAGGCAGCAATCCAGGCAATAGTTTACTGGCCCCTGGCCTAAAGAATAAAATCGAAATGAGTTAACCTCCTATTAACAAGGTTTATAAGCCCTGTGCTGCCACAACACTGAATTACTTCATCTCCCATTTGTGTCATTATTCAGTTTCTCCTCTTCTTATATCTTTTGCTAATTGTGCCAAACCCATTAAACTTCAAGGCCCATACCACAGGCACTTTGTCTGTGTGTCTTTCCTTGATCACCACATAACATAACTCCATAATTCCACCCATTGTCTCTCCCTCTCACAGGTTTTCTTTCTTTTTTTTTTTTTTTTTTTTTTTGCTGCCCTTCAATTTAGGTATGTCAAT